GAAGTGATAGTGATAGATAACATCAACGCGGGCCTCAATATGATCAACATGGGTGTTGAGGGCGCCAAACTATTGAATTATTTGTTGTTCCCAGGCGAAGCGTTGATTGTAGCGGTCTTGTTCCATAGCTAAAAAATCCGTCCAATAAGCAAGAGGTGGTTGGTAAGGTGGTGGCATGGCAACTGGAGGATGATCTTGAGGATCCTCCATGGGAATATCAGGAGCAGCCATACTTTCTAGTAGAATATCACTGCCTCCAGCACGGTTGATGGTGTATTCACTAGGGGTGAGCAGCGGATATACTGATCCGCCTAAACCGACCGAACCAAACCGATCCGCCGCATTTTTGACGGATGCGCGATGATGAGCGGAAGGTTGTGGATTGATTTTTTTCAATCCGCCTAGTTTTGGACGAATGACGAATTTGAGGTTCATTTGGTCGCAACCGAACCACTAAACCGCCTAGCATTCTTAATAATTTGTAAGACTTAGTGTTTTCAATTTGTTTATATATTCTATTTGCGTTTTCAATTGAAAAAAAGTTTAAATATTTTGTTGCATATATTATGTTGAAAAAAAGTTTTCAACTTAAATATATTTTTTGAATTGAAAAAAATAAATGTATTATTTATCTATATATTTTAGTTTTTAAATGTAACTCTAAAAATAACAAATAAAAAAGATTATATATGCTGGTTGGTTTTTGTTTTCAAAAACAGGTATAGATGTAACAATACAGAGGCATGCAATCACTACTACTGCTTTGTTCATGGTTTTGGTAGTTTGAATTGTTTTTATATTTTAAGAATCACAGATTATAATACTTTATGCAGATGAGGCATGTTGTGATTGTAATATGTGGATAAAGTTTCAAACTTTCTTTCATTGGATGAGGCATATAGTGATTATAATACTCTGTTAAGTCATTGACTATATATATATATATATATATTTTTTTGAGAAAGTGCACAAGTTGAATTATGTTGAAAATTTATAAAATTTTAAACCGCCAAACCGCTTCGCATCCATCCGCCAATCTGCTCAATCCACATTTGTCGGATTGGCGGACGGATTCGGATTGATTTTCTCCAATCCGGCAATCTGGCGGACGGATAACAGATGGGAAGTTCTGTGGCCGTAACCGACCGGGGCCCATCCCTAGTATTCACTGATATATGAGGCAATTGGTGATTCGGGTTGTGATGATCGGTTTTACTTTATGTCCCTTCGTTTTCATTTTTTATCGGGATTGTTGTGTCTGGACGTCCTTCTTTAATTCTCATACTTGTTTACTTTGAGTTAGTTTTTCTTTTGTTCCGGAGGGTTCTCTCGATTGGGTTCTTGTTTTAGTTTTGTTCGGTGTTGAATTTCACCAGGTTCGGAGGATGCTCGGTTGAGTTCGGAATGCTCGGGGGTTTGAACCAGAAAATTCTGGGCTGCTACGTTAGGGCCGCACGTGCGGGGTGGGGGATGCACGTGTGAGGGGTAAGGCCGCACGTACGAAGAGGGGTGATCTTTAGAAGTGTGCCTACTGTTTAATAGACATGAGCGGAGAGTTGTGCAGGAGGACCCCTACATGTGTGGGGGTGAGGGCCGCACGTACGGAAAGGGGCACTCCGCACGTACGGGGAGGAGCGCCGCACGTGCGGCACTCTGGGCATCCGAAACTCTATTTTTTTATGTCTTTTGGCTGAACTTATATCACATTTTGGGCTCTTCCCTCTCACTCTAAACACCTTTTTCCTCCTCATTCTCTCTAGAAAACCCTCATCAAGCCTACAAAACCCTTGATCTCTTGAAGTTCCTTGGGTCTAGATCCATCTCCTTTCTCTAATCTTGAAGATCAAAAGCTAGAGCTTTATCTTTGTGTGGTGGTCGACCAAAGATTCTCATCTCTTGATTCTAGGGTTTCACTTTCTCCTCTTCATTGAACTTTGAGGTAGGGATTTCTTGAGTCATATATACATGTTTTACTATATGAATGTCGATTTTAAAGTTTCCACGAGGTTGTTGTGTTGATTTTAATTTTGCACTAAATGAAGAGAGAGCGAGAGCGAGAGAGAGAGAGAGAGAGAGAGAGAGGAGTTTTGAAAGATGAGATTAAATTTCAACTTTTCTTTTTATCCATGAGGATGTTTTTTCAATAAAACTCAAGATGGATGATTTTGGTAGGATTTATTAAGAAAATGGGAAAAAGTTTTGTCTTGGGTGAAGAACCCTATAATTTAGGGGTTTTGGGAAAACATGAAAATACATATGAACTTCTTTCATTTCTTGCATCAAGAGAATGAATAAGAGTAAATTTCATCAAATGTTTAGCCAAATTGCAATCTACTTGATCTATGAGAAATAAGATGTCATTTTAGCATTTTTGCCAAATGTGTGAACATGGATTGTTATAATGTGGCAAATTGTTGTGCACCATGCAAGGTAAGAATTGTAAGCATCGAAGATTAATGTTTGAAAATATCACATATAGTCTTTATGAGACTAAATTGCTAAGACTTGTGAAATGAGAAAATTGTACTATGTGCTGACGACATGCGATTATCTTATGAAAGAACCATGAAAAGAGGAAATGGGAGATGTAATTGTTGTCATTATTGTAGAGGTAATTGATATGGAGAAATGCTATGAGATATGGAATATTATTGCATTGCATATTCACTTAATTTACCATCATGCATTTGTGAAATTAAGTTGAGAATATTTACTTCATTAAAGGAATTGGTATCTGTAATAAGAACAACGGAAATGTGTATAGGGTAAATACATTGGTAAGTCCGGTTAGGGGGGGTGTAGATGAATTTGATAAGTTGGCCTGAGTGTCCATGGTGAAAGACCAGAAAACTGCGTGGATATGTGTCGAGCCTTCCGGTTAATACCGGTAAAAATGACGATTTGGTAGTATTTGTATAGTCTACCTACAGACACCACCCTAGAGATTACCAGTGTCGTATTTACCGCCCCTATTGATTAAAATTTGAAGTTTTGAAATGTGTTGAAATTGCAAGCTTTTATTGAGAAATGGAAATTTTCAAGAAGAACATGAAATGAAATTTCTTTAAAGGAGCATGGCATGTCATTGACATTTGCATTTTTATTGAGAGTTTGCATAACTGTATATACTTTGTAAGAATTCTCTACTGGGCTTTATGCTTACTCCTATAGGATTTTGGTGCAGGTAAAGATGTGGTGATTCCGCCGAATTGATGGCGTGGATAGCTTTGTGAATAGTAGATTGCTCTTTTATTTTTGTTGTGAATTTTTGTAAGCCAAGGGCTAGATGTGTAGGAGTCCGAGAGACCATTTTGTGTAACCGAGCTATTGCCTTGGAAGATGTAAGCCTTTAAGGGCATTTTATTTGTTTTGAGACTAGATGCTTCACATGCTATAGATTCATGCGTTCTTCATATAGTTGAATGTATACTCGCATATGAAACTTTTGTATAAACTCATTTATTAACTTCGCGATGATGAAAGGATTATTGATTGTTGTTTAGTGAATGTCAATTAAGGTGGTTAGTTCATGTTGATTTTTTTCGAGGCGTTACAACATGATATCAAAGCTACCGTGTTGTGATAATGTATGATAATGGTTTTTTTTTTTTTTGGTACTTTTTATAGTTACCACTTTGTTGGATTGAAAGGTTTAGATGACTTGCCTTATGCAATTACGTAATTTGGAAATTTACAATCCATTTATTTCGATGAAAAATATTTTTCCAAAATGCTTGTCGCATTTTATTGCATTTGAGTAAATTAACTAAAAATATTTTTCAAACAGAAGGAACCTATTTACCAATGAACAAGAAATGTTGAAATCAAACACAAGAACTCATTCCTAAGAAGCAAACTAATCAAACAAAGCAAAACCCACTTAACATTACAGAATTTGTAATTTAAGGCAATAAACACTTAGGTGCTGTTTGGTAACACTTTCGTTTTCAGTTTTCAGTTTATATTTATAAAAATTTAAAAAACTCAAATAAAAACTTGTTTGATAAAATTTTTGATTTATAAATCAGTGGTCTCAGTTTATAAATTTGGCCAAAAAATGAAAACACAAAATATGTGTTTCTGTTTTGAGTTTTGAGTTTTTTTTCTTTTTTACCACATCAGATTGTCAAAAGCCCTAAATCCTCGTTCAAAAAAAAAAAAAAAAGCCCCAAATCCGAAGCCCTAATATATATAAGGGCTAATATATATACAAGATACATATATACTCGATATACAAAAATATATATATACCAGATTACCTCTTAAGTCGTCCTTCGTCGAATGCGATGAAAATATAGTTAAGCCGTCCTTCGTTGAATGAGATGGAAATATAAAGAGAGTCGGGAGTCGGGCGTTGGAGTCAAGGAAATGACAAAGTATGGCGTCAGAGTGAAGGGGAGGAGCTGAGGGAGTCAGACATCTGAGTTAAGGGGAGAAGCTCTCTCTCGTGATAGAGATTAGAGATGTGTATCATTTGAATGAGGTGATTTTGAATTTTGAAATCTGTAGTTGAAATTATCTTTTCAACATGCAATTTCAAGTCACATCAACAAATTATTTTCCATGTAGACTTCAAACTTAGGGTTGGTTTGGGGTGTCCTAAAAAAGTGCACTTTTTGTCTTTTTACGAAAAGATGTGCAGAAAAGTAGAGAGGTGATGTGATGGAAAAAATATAAAAAAATGGATTATATAGGTTATGCCAAACCTAGCCTTAGACTTCAAATATGTCTATGTAGATTTGAAATCGCATTTTCAACATGTAACTTTAAATTAAAATTACATGTTGAAAATATAATTTCAATTTGAAAGTGTATATTCAAAATGTGATTTCAAAACTAAGTCACTTTTCTAAATAATTTGAAAAATAGCTCAATTCTTTAAATAGTTTTTTTTTTTTAGAATATTAAAAAAAAAAAAAAAAAACTCACCAAAAAAGTGTCCAGCCCACGTGGCTGTGGGTGATTGGTAGGAGAGAAGGAAAAAAAAAAAAAAAAAACTTGGCGCGCAAGACCTCTTCTCTAAAATCCCCTTCTTTGATTAGGGTTTTAGCAATATCCCCTTTCTCTTTCTCTCTCCACTTCTCACTCTTCAGACACTACACCGATAAACTCTGCACTCTCTCAGAGACAGAGAGAGAGAGAGAGAGAGAGAGTGAGAAATCTTCAATGGCATGAACTCTCTCTGTAGCTAGACAGACTCTTAACCATCCATGGCGTTCTCTACTGGATTTCGTTTACTTCGTTATCAGCTCTCCCTCCCCGTCTCTCCGACTCGTCTTCACAATCTCCGTCACGGCATCTCCGGCCTCCGATTCCTCTCCGTCATTCCTTCCAGGCCTCTTCGGACGGTGAAAGCGAGGCGAGGACAAGACACTGCTGCTGCGGCGACGGAAGAAGGGAACGGGAGCGTGATTGTCAAGGACGAAAATGGAAGGGATGGGAGAGTTGTCCCTGCTGAGCTTCACAAAGAGGCTACCGAAGCTTACATGGCCTACGCAATGTCGGTGTTGCTCGGCCGAGCTTTGCCCGATATTCGGGATGGATTAAAGCCGGTTCACCGCCGAATATTGTGAGTAGTACTCTTATGTCTGTTTTAATTACAATCTCTGTTTTAAGTTTTTTGATAAACTTTTTTATGGAATGTTGGAGGGCACCATCGTCAGGGAAGAAGTGGAGGATGAAATGTTGTGGACAGGTTCCAAAAATGGAGTCTTTTTTTTATGTATATACTTGTATGAACTTTTTATCAGCAAAATATAGGAGATTTTGTTAAGGCTGTATTTGTTTTATGGATCTGGGAGGGATTTTCGAAAAGGAAAAGAACAAAGTAGGTGAAATGTGAACTATGACTACATTTCACACAAATTTTCGCTTTCCCTCCCCAAATCCATGAACCAAACACATTAGAAGGAGAAAAACAAGAAGGGAATGTAGAACGGGTGGAAGTCTGCCACGGGAAAAAAAAAAATTAATTGTCACAAACTGCTCACACTTCTTTCCAATATCTAAAAAAAAAAAAACGAAAAAAAGAGAGGGAATACTCTTGAATGAAGGTGAAATGAAAACCCAAAAGGAAGATTAATGCTTTCTTTCTATAAGTCATGTTTAGGGGATGGGTTAGTGGTTTCCATAGGGAAGCTATCCTGACGACATATAATTCAAGCGGTAAATTTCTTTTGGATTGGTGCTACATGTGTAAGAGTGAGGAGTGTGGTAATCACCTCCTTTCATTATCCTATAGTGAGGGAGGTGTGGAGTTTGGTGTATTGTATTTTTGTTATGTTATATGGACTCGGATATAATTGTCGGGTGCCGGTGCATATCTAGAGGTTGGACTCATTAAATCTCAAATTTAAAGGTACGAAGACTCAGTAAATAAGAGTCATATTTTTATATATTTAGAGCTGGTTTGACAACTTACAAAAAAGTCAAAAAGTCAAAAAATTATCAAAAAAGTCAAAAAGTTATCAAAAAAGTTAAAAAGTTATCACTATTCACAAAAAAAAAGATATAAAAAATTATTTTTATACAAATTGTGAGACAACTCACTTTGACGGAAGGCGTCTTTGCCTGACTTTGGTGAGGATAAATTACACAGGCGGAGGCAAGCTTAAGGACTGTGTTGTTCGGCTCGTGGGGGTCATCACGGGTCATGTTTTGATAATCTGAACCGTTCAATGTGTAAAATTCGTTAAGTACTATATACTTGTAAAAAATTACGTTGGTCGGATATCGCTAATTATATGATCAAATCAATTTTGTATAAAAAAATGGATGGTGTTATAGTTAACGGTTAAAAAAAAAACTAATCCGATCAAATAGTTATCGATATTCGATCAACGTGATTTTTTACAAGCATATAGTACTCGACGAGTTATACACATTGAACGGTTCCGATTAGCGAAACGGGACCCGTGGTGGGTCCCCATGGGCCGAATAGCACCGTTCAATTTATGCCCGAAAAGGAGAGAATCATCTCCTACCCTACACTCTGCCACGCTGCCCCTTACACTTCCGACCGTACGGCCTATTCCATCATTAACTTCTCTTATACACTTATTTATATAAATTTTTTAATACACATTTTTTCATAAAAAGTTAACTCAAACATTTATATTTTTTTCTTTAACTTTTTAGTAAAAAAAGACAAAAAGTGCACTTATTTAGGACACTCCAAACAACCCCTTAATTTATTATATGAGATAAAATGGTACAATATGTAACATGTAACGTCAAAAAGATAATGTTAAATACAAATATATGAGAAGTGTTTAATGAAAAGTATCGAATACATATCCCACATCCTTGTCCGAGTGTCGGGTATCCGACATGGTTATTTGATTTATTTTAAAGAGTTCATGTAACGTCGTCAAGTGAGCGATGTCATTTTTGGTTCGCATCTTGTAGTAGAGCCTGTCGAAAAGGCCCAGGCTCCTTTAGGAATGCTTGAGAGATGACTTGGTTGTGCATCATGTGGTGATTATGGCATAAGAGAAATTAGAGATGTTTTAATGGTTGTGAGAAATCAGTTATGTGCGTTAAAAACACTTTTTTTTTGGTTTTTTAAGGATGTGGGAGAGATCTCTTTTTCTTTTTTTAATTTATTGTTAAATACTTGATTTTGTTGACTTTTTGGGGAAATTATCTATTCCCGGAGATACATAGGTGGGAATTTTTGTGCTTTGCTTCTTTGTGTACATTTTGTGTACTGGTTGCTTACCCTTTCTGGTTGCTTTTATGGCAATAAATGTATTTTACTTGTGGTGCATGTTTTTGTGTGTTTTAAATGAAGTGCGTAACATTTTATATTTATTTCCTCAACTTTGGCTACAGATTTGCAATGCATGAATTGGGCCTTTCATCACGAAAACCATACAAGAAGTGTGCTAGAGTTGTTGGGGAGGTTACATTCTGACTATAAAAGTTCCTTTTGCATATTCAGTGTTAGATCCATGACTTACTCAGAACTATTTTTCTGCCATATATAATCAGTAAACCTTTGAATTCTATTGGTTTGTTGCAGGTTCTTGGTAAGTTTCATCCTCATGGTGACAGTGCTGTATATGATTCCCTAGTCCGAATGGCACAGGTAATGTTGGAATTTGTGTAATTGGTTAGCTGTTTTTTAGATGACAAAGAATATAGTTAATAAATTGATAGTCTGCAACAATTAACAGTAATAATTGTTAATTTTTGATGGGTCTCCAATAGTTTGAGTCATATATTTCAAGGACTGCCACAGGTAAGGATGAGCGAGGGGCTCGGGTTTGGTCCCCACTCCATTAAGGTTACTTGTCTGATTTGCTGATTATATCATTACTGACTAAAAAGAAGACCGTGCATTGTGCATGCTCATGCTCCAATTCATGGTGCACACTTTTGTTTGTCCTGTAATAGTTCTTATCATGGCCATCATCATCTTCAGAGCACAATGAATGCATGTGCAAAATTGAGTGTCAGCACTGTTTTTTGTTTAATTCTATTAATTCTCTTCATTCTTAGAAGAGTGTTGCCACTATTAGGCTCCCACCATGCCTCTTTAGTTTATTTTATTTATCTTTTAAATTTTGTTCTTGCCTCCTCGTGCAGGATGACTATATGTCAGGATAAATTGCTAGAATCTTCTTGATTCAGGGTTTAAAAAGGTGGATGAGATGCTGAAGGGTTTGTAGACAGAAAACTGTTGGAATTAGCTTGGTTTTGAAGGGTGTAGTTTTCTGGAATTTTAGAAAAATAGTTGGTGGAAGTTCCAAAGAGCAAGTCCCAAAGAGCAAGCAATTAAGGAGTTTAACTTTGAAGTAAAAGGTTGAAAGGGTAGCAAAAGGGTGAGGATTATGAAATTAGGATTATGGGATGCAAGGCTAAAGAATTGAGTTATACTTAAATGTAGCAAAATCTAATCGCAGAGGTTTAAAAGCGGAGGAGTAGAATCTTTTAGGATCTTAACTTGGACTCCAATAATTTCCCCGGGATTAGAGATGCATTGCACATCAGTCATAAGTTAACACAACCCCAAGTTTTTGAATAGACTCTTTTGAGGTGAAAGACTACCTAAATATTTATTTATTTATTTTAAGAAAAGCAACAAAACATTTTATTAAATAAAGGAAAAGAGATACACAAGGATTAAGCTAATTTCTGGCTAATTTAAATTAGTGTTTTTATTTATTTATAATGACCCACGAAATTAGCTTTGGAAAATTAAAATAATACCCTGATGTGTCCCAAACTGTATCCCCGCTGTGTCTAATGAAAAAAAATTATTAAAAAAATGGATACACCATGTGGCGTGTTGGACACATGTCCTCACCTTGTTTCTCTCCCATATGTGTACGACCCGGCTACAACACCTATTTTTTAGTGTTGTTGCTTCACAGGTGTCCCATATATGTGTTGTTCCACATTTAACCTATCAAGTATCTTTGGTATTCAAGTTTACCACAGAACTATGCATATTATGTATGAAGTTCTCTATGACACCTTGTGAATATCATTATATCCTAGAAAATTAAAGAAATATATTAAGAAATATTAATATTATTCCCGTTTCTTGGACATGACAGTTAGATGAATTAGACACTTTGACACAAACTTGCACCTAACACCCATAATTGAGTCCATGTAAGTTGTAACATAGCTTGTCACAATATAGGCACACTTCCAAAGTAAAAACATTTACTTAGGTGCTAAATTTTTCTTCATCTATTGGCCAAGGAAGCCAATTAAGGAGCGAACCATTGGCATTTTGACCTGTAAAAACATTCCATTTGATGCTTTAAGTCTAGAGGTAACTTAAGGGTCTACTATGGAGTAGATGCCTTAGAAACCCCTTGACTTTAAAAAAGGGAGACTGCTACAACGCGTGTACATCAAATTGAGAAATTACCAAAGAGTACCTTGACTCCTATAACATTACAAGTCATGAAAAAAAAAAAAAACTGAAACTAACATAAAAATTTACATGATTAAACTCAATTGAACCCAAAACTTGAGTAGAAAAGATTCCTATCATCTTGATATGAAACTCTGAATAGTTATTTTCTGCATTACCTTGCTTTGTTTGGTGAGTAGGCAGAATGCATGAAAGCACATGTTTGGATGTGGGGTTTAAAGTAGGTCTTTGTTTGTCTTCTATGTTCTCTTTTTCCCTCTCCTTCTCTCTTTTGCACACACACCCAGCAACTTGTGTTATTTGATAATGTAAATTTCTGTGATCGTTATACCTTAAATGCTACTTACTTCAGCTCTTTGGATTCTGATCAGAAGCATTTCCATTTTTATAGTTCTTTTAATGGCATGTTTAGCTATCGAATTCCACTTTCCTTTAGTTGTTTGAAGACTCAAGAGTTTCACTTGCTTCCAGGATTTCTCTTTACGCTGCCCACTCATTCGAGGGCATGGGAATTTTGGTTCAGTTGATGCAGATCCTCCGGCTGCCATGCGTTACACAGAGTGCAGGCTAGAAGTAGGTTTAAATTAATTTGAAAATTTTCAATCAGCTATGTATAGTGGTGCACTTTGTTTGCTGAATAAGGGCAAGCATTAATGTTTCAAATATCTTTTTGTCATAATGATGCACAATCACTGTCTCTAAACAAAATTGTAATTTCTTTGACTGTATTCCCGACATGTGTTGTTTCGTAGGGCATGCCCCAGCGGGTTAGGTCACATTCCCCCAACAGACTCAAGTTCGAGTCTTCTTAATACCTATCCAAAAAATTATTCTTCAGCTGTGTCACATTGATATGCGTTGCTTTACTTTGATCAACCAATTACATTACAGGAAACATTAATAATAAACCATATTCTTGTATGTTATGAGCATACAAACACGTTACATGGTGCATCAGATAGTGTCCACAATTTGTGGCCTGCTCTTTTGCGTTGCATTTGTGAAAATAAAAGCATTTATGATATACTTATTTGTTTCAGGCTTATTTTTCAGGCACTTGCTGAAGCAATGTTGTTGGCTGATTTGGAACAAGATACAGTCAGTACTATGCCTTAGAACAACTGGTCCTTTGTAAATACATGGTTCAATATGTAACATACATTATCTTGCTTCAAATGTTTCATTGCATTGCAGGTTGATTTTGCTCCAAATTTTGACAATTCTCAAAAGGAACCATTGCTTCTACCTGCTCGGATCCCAAATTTATTACTGAATGGTTCCTCTGGCATTGCGGTAATTCCACTTGAATGCTTTCCTAGGAATTTACTAGCCGGTTATGTTTAATATTTTAGGGTTGTCACCTTTGTTCCCTTTTCTCTTCCTCATGATACTGTGAAACGTCAAAATATTGTTCTCCCCCCCCCCCCCGCGGGAGTTTAATGTACCTGTAGATGTTTCAATGAAGTGGTGCTTCAATTTTTCAGGTTGGAATGGCAACCAACATCCCTCCTCATAATCTTGGGGAATTGGTGGATGCACTCTCTGTTTTGATTCATAATCCAGAAGCCACGGTATATGCCATATCTTTCAGCAATGATTTTACTGTCAATATTTGAACTACTCTAATCTTGCGAAAGAATTATAATCAATGTCACTGCTAGAGTTATCGGGTTATCCTTAACTCAAGTTTCCTGGGTGGTTTTCATTAAAGCTTTTCCAGTAACTCCTCTACTGTTTCTTAATTTCATCTTCCTTTAGTAGTGGTCTCTCATCTTTTCCCTTCACAGACATTACATAGTTTAAATCTTTACTTGTTCTTTCTCTTCTATTAGCAAGTTTATCTATATCCTTTTCTCCATACTTCTAACTTCAGATAAAAATTATTGTAGCCTTCAACTTAACCTTCTTAATTGCTTCCTTAGCTTCGGGTTTGACCACTCTATAGCTGGCAAAATTTTTGTTAGTCCTGCATGTATAAAATTTTTTGGCAATCTCTTTTTGTTGATTGCTTTTTGAACATTTTCATTCCATCAATTTTCTTTAGAAGGCAACCCACTTCCCTTAGGTTCATCAAGAACCTCTTTTGCTATTTTTTTAACACAAGGGGACCATCTCACAGAACAGAATTACTTTTCTCATTCAAAATCCATTTTCCTTCCTGTTACCAAAGATTTCTAGAATTTCACTTTTAAGTTTCACCATCAACTCTTCTAAATATGAAAACAATCTATTTGGCTAATATTCATTCCACTGTTAAATTTTATTGAGTGTTCATCCCACTTCTTAAAGAATATATTTGCTATTACAATATCATCTACCTTTGCAAACTCTACAATAACACTACTTTCATCATATCTATTTCGAAATCTACAACCCCCATGTACTCTCTCATGTCCCCCATTATATATCTGTATATGGATATTAAGATCACCGTCTATAAAACTCTCCCCTCGGCATCCTTTGTACTAATCCATTCAAATCTTCCAAAAATTGTTGTTTAATTGATTCTTGTAATCCTACTTGGGGGCGTGTAAGTATTAGTTATACTTGGTGTCTATTCTCCTCACACTAATTTTACTAATATTGTATTATTTCCTTTTTTCTAAACCACCATCACTTCTTTTAAATTTGTATTTACAATTATCTCCACTCCATTCCTATGTTTCTCTTTTCTAGTATACTAAAATTTATATGTTATTCTTTTAATTTCCCTGAACTTTTTTCCAAATCATTGTATCTACTAATTCCATCTCTTTACCTGTTAATATTCCCATGTTTCAAGTTCCTAAGCCTTTTATACTCTCTTTAACTAGTTTCGTTATGTGCACTCATGCATTAAAGTGCAAGAATCCTAGCCTACTTCTCACCTCACTGTGCACCAATGTTGTGCCTCATTTAAGGGAAACACCCTAGTTTACCCTTGCCCATTTATCACTACACTTGAGCTTTGATGCCACGTGTCCCAAGATGGGAACACCTGAATGGAAGAATTCTTAGTATCCATGTTCATAAAACGTGTGACTAAGGCTATGTTTTGCTTGAGAACTTGTTGCAAGTTGTGTCATTTACCCATTTTTTTCCTTCCTTTATTTGAGAACAGAAAACAAAAACAAAAAAGATACCCAACGAGCCTGAAACTACTTATTCATTTATTTTCTCATTAACAAATCCCAAAACCTAACACAGCCTAATTTTTATGTTGGCTATCGACCTATCACAACTCTGTTTTTTCATTCGGACATGGGATTGGCTATGTTAAAGATAAAACATGAAAAGACTTGTTACAATAAAAAACTGGAATAAATCTTAGGAAACTGGATGGGTACTGGCTTTTGAAAACAAAACTGACAAGCACTTAAGCTATTGTCTTTTCCCCTTATTTCTTTCTTTCTTTTTTTCCCCTTTTTTTGACAGTTACTTATTGTTTACAAGTTTGGTAGAGTGAGTGCTGCATTCAGTAGTAAACATATAGAACTTTTTAGATATATACCATACTGACAAATTACCAACATTTATGGCTTACTGTGTGCACATATTTCGAAAGTATGTTGCTTCTCTATCATCTTATGTGCATTTTACATTGACATATTTCTATAACAAATTTATTTCTTTTACCTCATTTGATTAACTATAGTCTGCAGGTCTACAGTTTGAACTCCTTTCAGATGGAAGATGAGTTTCTCATGTTTAGAGTTATCAAATCAATATGCTTGATATATTGAAGAACTTTGTCGATAACTAACTGGTCAAATCTCCCCTAGTATTTGCACATTGAATCTTGAGATGCATATTGATACGTTGACGATATCATCGAGATTTATAACTCTTTTATGGCACAGTATGTGTATGAATAATGTGGGTAGATAGAGATTAGAGGTGATCGGTCATTGACCTCTGGGAAGATGGTAGGCACTTCAATGACTTAAGATCACCGGAGGTGGAGGAGTAGAAGACCAAGGCAAGCTTAAAGAGGGAAGATGTGGTAGTGAGAGACCTTGAACACTTAATGTATGTTATGTGATTCTTGTTGCTCTTGCTGTGTGTTTGTGGTTGCACTTATGATGCCGTTATATAGACTCCAGAAGTATTGGAGCCCAAGCAACCTCAAGGTAGGTGGCAAGTTCTTCTCAACTCGACAGGAGGGTGATATCAGCCTTACTAGCTATGTCCTATGATTCAGGTCCTCGGGGAGGTTGTTGAAGCTTTGAATAATCAGCTTAGGGTATGATGAGATATTATGATGCCGTTATATAGACTCCAGAAGTATTGGAGCCCAAGCAACCTCAAGGTAGGTGGCAAGTTCTTCTCAACTCGACAGGAGGGTGATATCAGCCTTACTAGCTATGTCCTATGATTCAGGTCCTCGGGGAGGTTGTATCATAGGAACTGTAGGGGTAGGTGTGATATCTTGAGAGGCGTATCATATGTGTATCAGATGTAAGTGTAAGGTCAACGTCTCTTTCTCTAAGCCAGGTCAAAGGGGGAGCTATCACTGCAGGGAGATAGCTACACGACCTTGACGATCCCGAGGTCTTAGTCTCCAATCCACAATCCTCCGATGATCCCAAGCGGGAGTGCCTAGGTCCTGCTCCCGACCTAGGCAGCCAAGAGGGTGAATGCCTTGGCTCACCTCACTAGCCAAGTAAACATAGGTGAGCCAAACATATGTGAGCCAAGAGTCTGGTTATGTTGTTATGGAGCTGGGTGAGTGGGTAGACAATACATTTCTTGAGTTATGAAGGGCCATGAAGAGCTCTAAGTGAGCTAGCTCCATGCGGCCTTGTTTCATTCTTGGTGGTGTGCATGCCCCCGCTTAGGCTAGGCATACAATCTCGACTCATCGTGGTGCCTTAGGGGTCTGCCACGTGAATGCGTAATGGTGATGACATACTCATCGTGGTGCCTCAGGGGTCTGCCACGTGTGAATGTGTAATGGTGATGACATACTCATCGTGGTGCCTTAGGGGTCTGCCACGTGGATGTGTAGTGGTGCTGATGTGACGCCCGTTGGGCTCGCCACGTGCCAAGTATAGTATAGATACCCACAAATAACTTTTGAGTTTTTTAATGGTATAGAAGAGGATTTAACTTTTTCTTGTTTCTGTGGGTGCGTGCGTGTATATATGTTACGTATATATCTCGATTTTTTCCAGAGCAGATTACGACATTTCACCTAAAACTGCAAACGGAAATCTCTTGCAGGAAGAAAACTTCTATTCGATTGTTTACTGGGATAGTACACTGTAGCATCACCTATTCATGGGCACATCTCTTCTTATATATGGATGTATATATCTATCCATTTATCTATTTTTTCAATCTGACAACTATATATACATTTTTTGTGAAATAGCTGCAAGAATTACTGGAATACATGCCAGGACCTGACTTTCCAACTGGTGGCCTAATAATGGGTAACACTGGGTAGGTTAATCTGACCTTTTGTTTTCATCTCACTGACATGAATCATATATCTGCAAGGTATTTTTTCCCCTCCACTCTTGTTAACGCACAACCATCATCTTGAGAAAGTTTTGTTGTAACCTTGATCAATGCTTATTCTCTTCTCTTGAATTTTTATTGATCATACCTTGTCAAGTCTATGAAATTAAATATATGACACAAATATGAAGTTTGAGAGACCAATTTAGCATGTTTAAATTGAAGGTTCAATGTCTTCATATCTGAAGAGAATTTATTTCATATACTTTTGTTTATATATTGTATATATAGGCACATATTTTCCATAAATGCTAAAGACATTCAACAACGAGTTATATGAGGCCATATGTTTGTAACAGATTTTTCTGTCTCAGATACTGGCGTTTAAGATTTGTTTATTGTTTAGTTTTTTCTAATCACTTTTCCTTTTGATGGTCTAGTTTTGTGTCATCAATGTTAACTTTAATAAATTACTGATAGTTAGTTATTTTTGTTAAGCATCTTAGAGGCATATCGAACTGGGCGAGGACGGATCGTAGTCAGAGGAAAGACTGATATTGAATTGCTCGATTCTAAAACAAAGCGTACTGCAATTATTATAAAAGAAGTACTATCTTGGTCTTTTTTGTTCGAATTTAATAGATTTGTGTATTCATTTTCTAACTCTCAATTGGGGAGGTAAAGTTGAATTTTTTAATCATTGGTCTCTTTTGAATGAAACAGATTCCATACCAGACCAACAAAGCCTCTCTTGTTCAGAAAATCGCTGAGCTTGTGGAAAACAAGGTACTCTAATGATGAATAGCTTATGATTGTAAACATTTTATTCATCTGCGGCAGAAGCAATCTGTAATTGTTTCCTTGTTTCATTTTCTTGTATCATCCAGCATCACAGAAAGTTAATACACTGTCTAGGTCCTAAAAACATCTAGGCTGGGCTTGGATTGCTCGGATTCAACCATCAGGAGGTGAACATATTGTCTGGTGGTGTGTATGCATGCATAGATTAATTCAGCATGTAATGTGATGGATAAGAACCAGCACCGTCTAGATATTCATTAGATATTTCTGTTACTTGTTGCTGATCATTCTTTTATTCCTAAACCTAATTATTCTTTCTCATGCCTTGCTTTAAATATATCTTAAATGTAAAATTTGGCATTTACCTGTGGTGGTGACACTCTAAAGTTATAGCAACATGATTTCCCATTTTTTCAAATTGTAATTTTCACAATGCGATATAATGATGGTAGATGGAAGTATTAAGGGAAGGGGTAGACCTAGATTGACGTGGGCTAATGTAGTAAACAGAGATATAAATCTCCTTAATTTGACTAACAGTTAAAATTATAAGAACAAGTTTAAGTTTGAGAGGAGAGAACAGAAGAATAAAAGATAAGAGAATTCTTATTAGGAAGAGGCACAAAACCTTAGATTAGGTTTTCCCTCTATAACAATATGTATTTATACTAACCAAATAAGTACATAAAGACAAAACTACCCTTCATCTAACTTAACACTCGCATAGATATCCTTCATGTCCAACTTGCGCACAATGGGATGAAAGACCTTACTACCTAACCTTTTAGTAAAAACATCGGTTAACTGATCTTCGGATTGCATAAACGGCATACAAGTCACACCACTACTTATTCTCTCCTTGATAAAATGTCTGTCGATCTCAATGTGCTTGGTCCTATCATGCTGGATAGGATTATGAGCAATGCTAATAGCAGCCTTATTATCACAATGCAACCACATTGGTCCACCATTCAATAATCCTAAGTCAGCCAATAACACTTGAAGCCACATGAGCTTACAGATGCCATTTGCCATTGCTTGGTACTCCACTTCCGCATTTGATCTGGCCACAACAGCTTGCTTCTTACTCCACCAAGTCACCAGATTACCACCTACAAAAGTGCAATAACCTGAAGTAGATCGCCTATCGTCAACTGCACCAACCCAATCTGTATTAGTGAAAGCCTCTATTTTCAAATGACCATGATTGGAGAACAAGATTCCTTTTTTAGGTGTTGATTTGAGATACCCAAGGATCCGATTAGCTACATCCAAATGCCATGTTCGAGGATCATGCATGAATTGATTTACAACACTAACTGCATATGTAATATCTGGCCTAGTATGAGAAAGATATATTAATCTCCCAACAAGTCTCTGAAATCTTTCTTTATTTACACAATCTCCATCACTGTTGCTAAGTCTGTGATTGGCCTTGATAGGAGAATATGCGGGCCTACATCCCAACATACCTACTTCCTCAAGTAGGTCCAATATGCACTTCCTTTGAGAGATAAAGATGCCATAATCCAATCTAGCAATCTCAATCCCAAGAAAGTACCGCAAAGAACCAAGATCTTTGATTTCAAACTCCTTGGACAGTCGAGCCTTGATTTGGGACATCTCCTATACATCGTTACCAGTCACCACTATGTCATCCACATAGACAATAAGAATAGCAATTTTATCATCACACTTTTATGAACATAGTATGATCTTGATGACTTTGTTTGTACCCAAATTTGAGCATCGCCTTAAGAAACCTATCAACAAGGCTCTAGGTGACTGTTTCAATCCATACAAAGTCTTCTTTAACCAGTAAACTTTCCCTTCAGTGACTGAACCCGTGTATACTTCTTCTTCTAGATCACTATGGAGAAAAGCATTCTTTACATCAAGCTGTTGTAATGGCCAACCCAGATTTGCGGCACAGGAATGGACACGAATGGAATTCATTTTAGCCACTGGAGCAAAGGTCTCTTGATAATCAATGCCATTAGTCAGAGTGAACCCTTTAGCAATCAGTCTCGCCTTATATCTCTCAATAGTCCCATTGGCCTTCTGTTTGATTGTAAACTCTCATTTGCAACCGACATGTCTTTTACTCGATGTTAGGGAAACTAAATCCTAAGTGTCATTCTTACTCAGAGCTTTCATCTCCTCTGTCATAGTTTCTTTCCCCTTAGGATCAGTGAGTGCTTCCTTCCAATTCTGAGGAATACAGACAGAAGACAAAGACTAAACAAATGTGCGATATGATGAAGATAAGGAGTCATATGACACATATTTAGAAATAGGATGTTGAGTACAAGTTCTAACACCTTTACTAATAGCAATAGGAAGGTTTGAATTATCAACATGAATAGTGGGAGAAGTAACCAAAGACTCATTACTTGAGGATTCTATAGAAGAATTAGGAACTGGAGTTGGAGGTGATGATTGGCATGGCGGCACATAGGTCAACTGTTCTCTTTGTTGCCAAGAGTAGGTTTGAAGATCAGGTCTATCTAACCTACTAGACTCTTTCTGAACACAATCTGGTCTATCCAACGTACTAGACTCCCCCTGATCCAACCTACTAGACTCCTCTTGAATACACTCATATCTTTCTCACGGTACGGTGCCTCCTCCCCCTCACAACAAATAGTAGAGAATAATGGATCAGAAGAAACAATCTCTTCCATTAAAGAAACCTCCCCCTGAAGAGATTGGTCTCCAAAGAACTACTTAGACACACAAAAGGTGACATCCATGGTAACATAAGTTTTTCGAGAGTGAGGATCATAAGACTTGTAGCCTTTTTGGGTGGAGGAGTAACCAATGAAGACACGGCGAAGAGCCTTGGGGTCCAGTTTAGTCTGAGTAGGACGAGAAATGTGAACAAAGCAAACAAAACCAAACACTTTAGGAGGAATGGAATGAGGGGGTACAGACATATGAGGAAGGAGGGTAAGGGGGTGTTGAAATTGGAGGACACTGGAAGGCATGAGATTAATGAGATATGCGGCAATGAGAACAAAATCACCCTAGAATGGTTTAGGAACCTGCATCGTGAACATAAGGGCACGAGCAATCTCAAGAAGATGACGGTTTTTGCGTTCAGCAACATCGTTCTGTTCGGGAGTGCTAACACAACTAGTTTAATAAAGAATACCACGAGCCTTAAGATATGCTCGAATTTCACCGTTAATGTACTCAGTACCATTATCACTCTGAAGGACTTTAATGTCGGTGTCAAATTGAGTGTGAACCTTCTTATGAAATGTTTGAAAGCAAGAAAAGACCTCACTTTTGGTGCGAACAAGTAAACCCAAGTGACATGAGAATAACAGTCAATAAAAGTAACAAACCAACGATAACTGGACATAGATATAACATGAGATGGACCCTATATATCAGAATGAATGACCATAAAGGGAAACAAACTTCTTTTATTAATTGAAGAATAACAAGATCTTTTATGATTTGCATACTCATAAACATCACAATGAAAATTATTCCTATCACAATCCTTCACCAAACTAGGAAAAAGTTATTCAAAACTGAAATAGAGGGATGGCTTAAACGCCGATGCCACTGATGTAATGGAGAAAGAGATGAATTGTTGGTTGTCTGAAGAGTTTGACTAGTGATAGAAGATCTACCCTCCAGAAAATACAGTGCCCCATCTTCTTTACCACTGCCAATCATTCTCCCCGTACCTAGTTTTTGAAAAACACAATGAGAAGGGAAAAAAGTTACAGAACAATTTAAGGAATTGGTAATACGACTGATAGATAGTAAATTAGTAGAAAATTTGGAAACATGAAGAACAGAGAAGAGTGAGTGGAAAAAAGTGGACAAACCTGTCATACGATTGGTAGCACCGGAGTCAATAATACAAGGGAAGGAAGAGGCGGCACTCGAGGCAAGTGTATGAGTACCTGTAGAAGCAAAATTGGAGGAAGAAGTATCAGAAGTAGGAGCAAAAGTAGAAGCAGAGGCAAGAGAAGAATCAAGCTGAGCCATCAGACATTGAAGAGTATGTAACTCATTATAAGAAAAAGCTGCGGGATCACCCAAAGGACTAGTAGAGGATTTTGATAGGTGTGCATGAGAGCGAACAGTCCCACCGCGGCCATTAGTACCACCACGGCCACTACCTCTCCCGCGGTTAGGTTAACCATGTAACTTTTACCATTGTTCCTGATTATGATGTTCTTTCCCACAATAATCACAATTAATTTGATCACGAGCACTAAAAGGACCTTTACCCCCAGACGGAGAGACCAAGGCTTTGTTTGGTTTGTTTTTGAGTGGGTAATTTTAGAAAAAAAAATTCAAAATTTTGCTTGGTTTAATGATTTTGGAAAAAAATTTCCAAAATCACTTTCTTTTTCCTACACATCAATCAATCACTTTTTCTCTCTCCTCTCTCCTTCACTTTTTCTCTCATACACATCTACTAAACTATAACAAAATATCAAATCATCCTAAACTTTCATATTCCAAAACTATTTTCAAAATATACAACCAAACAAATTAAAAAAATTTCTAAACTCTCTCCTCAAATTTTTTTTTTAAAATTTATCTCCCAAAACCAAACCAAACACACCCCAAATTTCCCATCCTTGGGAAGAAGCAACTAGAACAGACTGGTCTTGAAGAGGCTGATGAACCATAGCGTTCTGCCGGCTCTTTTCTTGCAAAACATAAGCATAGGCTTCATGGACAGTAGGAAACTGTTGGCGACCGAGAACCTAAACACGAATCTGATCATATTCCAAGTACCAGCAAGAAATCATAGACCTGCTCCTTGGACACCATCTGTTGAAAGGTAGCGGCATCTTGAGAACAGACAGCTTGGAAGTGTTGATAATAATCAAGTTCTTGCCACAAACTGCTCAACTCAGCATAGTACTCAGTAAGAGATCTATTCTTCAGATCAAATCCCCGAATCTTTTTCGTAGTTCATATGCTTGGGCATCATTACCTCATTGAGAATACATCTGAGAGGCGGCAGTCTAAATCTCACGAGCAGTATCCATTAACACAAAAGATCGGCTAATGGTGGGGTGGATGGAATTGATTAGTCAAAGTCATAATGAGTGCATTCTCCTTATACCATGGCATGTGTTGGTCTATTCTTGCTAGGAACCTTAGTAACTCCAGTTATGTAACCTGACATACACGGGCAGTAATGGCCAACTGAAAGGAACGTGTCCAAATCAGATAATTGGTGCCATCTAACTTGACAGAAGTCAGATGAAGATTTGAGTTATCACCCAGAGGTACAAGAGGACCTAACCCTTTGGCCTCACTGGTCACAGGGTTCTTGCTATCATCAGCTATGGACTAAGAACAAAACTATATGGGAAAAAAATAAAGAGGAAGGTGGAACAACCCTAACAAATCACAAAACCAGTCCCACGAGCAAAAACAACCCAGAAAAGGGCAAAATACTGAGGGTAAAGGGTAAAAGGCACTCGTAACTGGACTTTGAGACCAAAAAACAAGCCTAGAGCCATAACCGAAGCCAAGGAGGGCAAGAGAAGGTCTAGTCGTGTCGCGACCCAAACCCGTCCTTATAGGTTTAGCGTCGTAACTGGCCAGTGATACTGGGATTACCAAAGGCCTTTGAGCAGATAAATAACATACAAGGGCTAGCGGAAGTAAATGCAAACATATAACGTCCATAGAACTGTGTAGACATACATGGAACTGAAAAATTGACAACTTAATTTACATAATTAAGACGCCATACCCACGTCACCATTCATACATATAGACAAACAAAAGGCTTGTTCAACTTAATAAAAGAAATACAAAAAGATCTTTAACATGATTCACAAAAGCTTGACTGCTGCAAAAAGGGGACTTTCTCAGGAGGCATTGTGACTGGCCGATAAAAAGGAACTCCAGCCCATCAACTTTAAACCTGGTCACGCGCCTGGTCACCTATATACATACATAATACGGTGAGTTGGAGCCCAGTGAATAACAACAGACTAAAGGATTTATGAATGATGTCTAAACAATTTCAAGAGTCAGAGTTCATATCAAAAACAGATTCATATTCATATTCATACCGTAATCAAAAGTCATAAGCAGTTATATGTGGTACATCCATTATCTATCATATCATCTTGGTCCTAGGATCCATATTCTAGAGCTCACTTGTACCTTATATAGGCTAATTAAGGTACTTAATTAAACTTAGCTTAAGACTAGCTAATTACAATTACTTTATTCTAATTATTTGGTTCCGAATCGAATTTTAATTAAATTTACCAAAATGTTTTAAAAATTCTAGATAACACATAAATGGAGTCAATTTCGTATTCTGTGGCTGATAAGGCCTTCAATTCACAGAACAGAACAAAACAGAATAGAAACATAAACAGATATTTCTACGACAGACAGATATAACTCAAATAATGCAACACACATGCAATTAATTCAGAATTTTTTCCTAATTATTGATTAGGTACTCTATGGCTAATTATAGTTCGGGGTTGTTACAGTCTTCCCCCTTTAAAGACTTTGGTTCTCCAAACTCGAATTGCCTTCGTTTTGGAAAACTATCGGGTCTAAAGGGAACAAATCAGGGTATCTCTTCATCATGTGCTCTTCCATTTCCCATGTTGCATATGTCCCTTCGTGATTTTGCCAATCAACTTTCACCAATGGAATTTCTTTGTTTCTCAGTCTTTTGATTCGGCGGTTCACAATTTGGATTGGTCGTTCCTCGTAAGTATAATCATCTTTCAGAAGTACATGAGTCGGCTCAATCACATGTAACGGATCTCTCAAATAATCCCAAAGCATTGAGACATGAAAAATATTGTGCATATTCTCCATAATTGGAGGTAAGGCCACTTGATACGTCACCGGGTTAATTTTCTTGATAATTTTATATGGGCCAATTTATCGTGGAGCCAACTTGCCTTTAACCCCAAATCGAGTTTGCCCTTTCAGTGGAGTTACTTTTATAAACACATGGTCACCGATTTCATATTCTTTGTCTCTCCTCCGAATACCCGCATAACTCTTTTGGCGACTTTGAGTGGTTTTCAAATGTTCTTGAATCAATTTTACCTTTTCAGTTGTTTCTTGCACAAGTTAAAAAAAAAAAACAAGAACGAACCGGAAAAAGAAGAACAGAAGATTACGTCTTCATAGCTCTGATACCAAGTTAAAATTATAAGAACAAGTTCAAGATTGAGAGGAGAGGAGAGAAGAATAAAAGAGAGAGAATTTTTATTAGTAAGAGGCTCAATACTTTTGGTTTTCCCTCTATAACAATATGTATTTATACTAATCAAATAAGTACATAAAGACAAAACTACCCTTCACCTAACTTAACACACTAACCAAATGGCCATTGATAGAGTCGAGTGGAGAAGAAGGAATCATGTAGCTGACCCCATTTGATGGGACTTGAGGCTTGGCTTGGTTTGGTTTGGTTTGGTTTTTTAATTTTCACAATGCACAATTGACATTTGTATTAATTACAATCTTTTTGTTTTTTGTCAGAGTTTAGAAGGCATAAGTGATATTCGTGATGAGAGTGATCGAACTGGAATGCGTATAGTGATTGAGGTATAGTTTTCTTTTTGATGTACCCAATAAAAAGTATAGTTATTGAGGTATCAGTTTTTGACCACCTCTCTTCCATAAATTTTTTATCTCAGTGATGGTTTGTTGGTTTTTTGATGATTTTTCAGCTGAAGCGGGGATCTGATCCGTCTATTGTTCTTAATAATCTGTATCGCCTTACTGCTCTTCAGTCTAGTTTTAGCTGCAACATGGTGGGGTGAGTGGTTTATTAGCTCTGATGGCTTTTAGAAATTTAGAAATGCAAAATATAGAAATAGGTTAGGGATGTTGATATATGGTTTTTTAGCAGTAATGAAGTGACACATTCCTGACATCAGCAAGTGGCCTGCATAACTGAGCAATAATTTTTTTTTTTTTTTGGCTATGGGAATTACCAGATTGGGTTTTGCTCCCAATACTTTCCTAATTTTACTCGTGTCTACACATACAATGTGTGTTAAGTGGGTGTATCTGTGGTTCGAAGGAAAAGCACATTGGGTGGAATTTCTGTGGGATGGTGTTTTAATTTTGGGGAAGCAAACACACCTATCTCATAGTTGGGACCAAAACTGTTTTTGCTTTTGACAAAATAATTTTTTTTTACTTCAATTTCCAGAAAGCTCATTTATCCCATTTACTAGATACTTCCAAGTAATGCCATACAATAGTTATTTATTGGTGGTTGTTTTTGTTTCTTGGTTTGTATTTTTTTCCTAGTTCATTTTATTTTGGATTTTCCTTTGTTAGTTAATGTTCATGTACCTTTTGGGATGTTTGTCCTTTTATTTCTTCGGAGAATCATAACCATGTTACATGACTATATGTGGGATAGCTCGTATTGATACTGATAGGAGGCCCAAATTTCTCATATACTGTTTTTTGTGATTCACCTCGAGAAAATGGATTAATGATGAACTAATCTACTTAGAGTAGAACAACTGAATAATATATTGTTGAAAATACTATATGGATTGATCTGCGTTGAGTTTCTCATCCTAGTGTGTACCAAAAACGACATCCCCAACATGGAGGGTTTGCTAGAAAAACAATGCCATGTAGGGCTGGAATGGAGAGGTTTTTACCTGGCTAGATACACAGAAGATCAAGGCTTTGCAGCAGGTTGAACATTGAATAGGCCTTTCAGGGAAAGCCCTCTCGAATTCAGGAGTACCTTCATGCTGGGCCTCCATGACCTAGAGCTTGGAGTGGGTTCATGGCATTCATGTGCAGGTTATGAGATAATGGTGAAGTGTAGACGTGAAAAAAGATACAAAGGAACCCACTAACCACTTCAACAGAATATTGGAGCCTTAAACCCAATTTCTTATCTTTAGTTTTCATTGTCAATCTCATTTCTTGGCCCCGTTTGGTAAAGTTGTGGGAAAGTGATTATAGATTATAACTTAACAGATTATAGCGTATAACTGTGAACATAAGTTGTTAACCTGTTTGGTGCAGCTGTGAGATTATAGATTTAAGCATCAAAGTAGTATTTGGTTGATAAGCTGTAAAATAACTTTTTATTGTATAATTGTTCTTTTTGCCCTTATATGATTAAAAATGGTAATTTTGTCATTTTTTTTCAATTTTGATTTAAAATTTAAAAAAAATATTTTATTAATAAAATTTAATATAATTAGTATTAATTAGTGTCAACTAACATAAAAATTGATACATTTGACAAAAATGTAATGGAAGTATTATTATAACAAATTTTTTCCATTATAAAATTAATTAGTATCAATTAATACTAAAATTATTAATTAGCATGAATTTCTTTTAGTCTCAATTAATACTAAAATTATTAATTATTAACAATTAATTTTTATTAGTATCAATTAATAATAAAATTATTAATTAATATCAATTTCTTAATTAGTCTCAATTAATACTAAAATTATTAATTAGTATCAATAAATATTAATAATTAATTTTTATTAGTATCAATTAACACTAAAATTATTAATTAGTATTAATTTCTTAATTAGTCTAAATTAATACTAAAATTATTAATCAGTATCAATTAATATTAATAATCAATAATTGTTATCAATTAGTATCAATTAATAATTAATTCATTACAAAAATATATAGTATTAATTTATTAATAATTAATACCAATTAATATTGATTTTTTTTCTTTTTCTTCAAAAATATACATTTTTTTCTTTTTTAATTAATATTAATATTTTTTTTAATTTTTCTTCAATTTGCCTCTAGGGTTTCAACCTAGCCGCCGAATAGCGATCGGCAGAGATGACCAGCTGTCGATGTAGGTGCGGGAGGCAGCAACAGAGAGCGAACGGCAGAGATGATTTTCAGTTTCAGATCGCGAGAGAGAGAGAGAGAGAGAGGGGGAGGGAGGGAGGGAGTGAGAGGTCTGGTTCGTGTGTGTGTGTGAGGGAGAGAGAGAGAGAGAGTTAAGAACAGTGTTGAGAGCTAGAAAATCATCTTCGCCGGAAATCGCGTTCGCCAGAAATCGCCTCTGTCTCTCCCTCTCGAGTGAACAGTGCTTGAGAACAAATGTTATATAGGTGGGTTTTTGGTAATAGTTGAAATATAAGAGGGGCATTTAAGTCATTACATATTGGACTAAACAGCTTCCCGCATAAGCTGTAAAATTAAGTACCCCAAGAGCAACTTCAACTTTTAAGCCGAATTTGACTTAAATTAAGCCATAATCTATGCCCATAAGTTGTACCAAACACACCAATATAGCTTAATTTAAGCCAAAAGTTGATTTAAGTTGAAAAAAAGTTTTACCAAACACCCCCCTTGTTTTAATGCAGGTTAAGTCCTTATATGCAAAGCTAATCAATAGAATCAAATCAGTGCTGTGCCTGTGAAGCGAAGACCCACATCACCTAGATACTAAAGTAATGTGAAGTATATAAGAGTGAGGGCATCCTCACCTCATCAATAGCTAGCTTTTGGGGTTGAGTTCTACTCAAAACCTGTGTGACATGATATCAGAACTGGAGTACTAGGGATAAGTAGGGTGCGTGTCTCTGGCTTGCATGCGGTAGGGGATGTCGAGGGAGCACACTGCGCGTGAGCAAAGGTGTGCAGTGAAGTATATAAGCGTAAAATATTTAAGCATGAGACATTCTTCGCCAGATGCATTTGGGCCAATAACAATGCGATTTAGCTCTAGAAACACTTCTTTGAGAGGTGTATGGCCATACCAAGAATCTAACCAGAATCTCATCCATCTTCCATTACCTGCATGAAGAGAATTCTCTTGGCAAATTCATCCTAAAATGATAGCTTTCCGAAGATCCACACTATAATGTCCCACTATATCGCTGGGGGAGCAATTGCCTCAAGCATGCCCATACTTTTTTCTTTTATCAGAAACAATTTTTTTGTTTATTAATAAATTAAAAGAGAATATGCAAGTGCAAGTGGAGGACAAGAAAGGCACCCAAAGTACAAAAGTCAACAAAAAGATTACACATCACACAACACCGCCCTTGTATCCCTACTAATCAAGAAGAGAGGAATCCCATTAAAAGAAAAAGAGACCGAAGCCCATAAGGAAGATACATGTAAAGTTATACCTCAAATCCCTTATATATCCCTGAATTCATCTTCAAATATCAGTGCAATACTTTTAACCAAATCTAAAAAAAATAGTGGAGGTTGCAGTCCCAAAGAACTGTACATTTTTTATTGGTTCCAAAGCCCTTAAATTCAATCAAAAGCGTATGTATACCAGTGGTCTAGCCCCTTACTCCACATTCACCATGTAAAACAAAATGTCACAATGGCGAAACCATTGGATAATGCAAGAAAAGGTGGTCAGTGCTTCATCTCTTCTAAAAAAAATACACCATTGTCGTAGCATGGAGTAATTGGGTCTTCTAGGGCAATTTTAAACATTTTTCATATATTCTAGAGATATCTCTCAATGAATAGGTTAAAATTCCATTAAGTTTTCTATTTGTTTCTGGAGAGTTTCCCTTCAATGTTTTCCAGAAGTATCTAAAAGTTCACAAAGTATCTAGAAGATCTCTCCAAAATTTAAAAAAATGTATTGTACCCATACGGAAGCACATTTTCTCTGAAGCACATTTCTCCTGTCAATAGTGTTTCTTGGTAACTATGGTTTTCAATTGAGAATGTAAAAACACCATTAAGATGTCGATTGATTTTGTCCCTTCTCTCTTCTTGAAGTCTTTGTTTCAATTGTATGTTTTGCTTTCACATACTGATGATGCAATAAGATGATTTTATTGGGACTTTTGTATATCTCTTATTTGATTTACCTTTTCACAGTATTCTCAATGGAAAACCTCAACAGATGGGCTTGAGGGAAATACTCCAGGTGCAAGTTCTTTCATGACTCTCTCTATCACTCACTAACACGCGCGCGCGCCCATGCACACACGTGAACATACATGCACATGAGCATATTTTATCTGCACTAATCAAGTACCTGCTAGGCTGCTAGTGTTGTTTTGGTAGCTTTGATCTCTCAAAATTATCTGAGCTTCACTTTGGTGCACAAAAGAGAGAAATTCATTGTTGTTGCATATTCTATGCTGTTTATTTACTTTCTTGTTTTCATGATAATTTCTTGCAACTATATTAATTGATAGCTTGATGAATTTTAATCTTTAATTTATTTTTCTGCAAATTCCAATTTGACGGTTTTTACTGTTACTTGCATTAGCAATGCTTTTTGGTCAAAAAGCAATTGATCAACAACATGAATTTCGTTAGTTTTTTCCTTCTCCAATTTTTACAGGCATTCTTGGATTTTAGATGCTTTGTAATTGAAAGACGTGCAAGGTATAAGCTTTCACAAGCAGAGGATAGGAGTCATATTATTGAGGTATGGTAGAAATAGTTGAAAGTTAATTATTTAACTAGAATATATATCCAGATCTTGGGTATTCAATATGATTGAAAGTTTGAAACCATTCCATTTATCTTCTTTGCATTTGAAATAAATATGTTCGTTGTGTAAGTACATGGTTGTTGCTGATATTTCAGAATTGACAATCTATTGTTGTTATTGCTATAATTTAATTTGTACAAGTATTGTGTATTGTAATGCATCCATTCTAAGGTAGAAAAAGTGGCTGTGAAGTTTAAGTCTTGCTTGAAATAAAATGAAATGGTTTTCATTGCATTGACTTCCAATCACAGTACATAAATACCTACAGTGTCAGGCTAATTATGTTGCTTTGTGAACTAAGGGTATCATAGTGGGGCTTGATAATTTGGATGGAGTAATTGATGTAATCAGGAAAGCTTCAAGCAATGCTATGGCATCAGCGACTTTGAGGAAAGGTATTGCTTCACACACTTTAATTTCTGCCTCCATGACGCCTTGTTTGTTTCGTACCTTTTATGTATTTATTATTTTTTAGGGCTCTACAAAAGTATAGTACTAGTTGGTCTTTATTCCTTATCACTTTCTCATATCTATGATTTGTATTTGTCATTCAGTTTAATTATGCAAGCAGCTATTGTATGAATTCAGTTTGTTAATCTTTTTTAATTAGTGTGTCCTTGATTAGGTAATCAATGATCCATGCTTTGAGTCAGCATGAATGTTGGTCTAGGTGTTAGAGATTTCGGGTGTGTTTGGTATGTGTTTTGAGATAAATTTTCAAAAAAAATTTGGGGAGAAAGTTTAGAAATTTTTTTAGTTTGTTTGATTGTATATTTTGAAAATAGTTTGGGAGTTTGGGAGTTTGGGATGATTTGATATTTTGTTGTAGTTAAGTGGATGTGTGTGAGAGAAAATATGATTGAGAAGGAGAGAGGAGAGAGGAGAGAGAAAAAGTTATTGATTGGTGTACAGGAGAGAGAAAGCGATTTTGAATTTTTTTTCAAAAAATTTCCAACCAAACAAAATTTTAGAATTTTTTTTCAAAAATTGTGTTTTGAGAGTTCAACCAAACAAGGCCTTCATTTGAGTTCGTTGTTTTGTGTAAATATAATAGTTGTAGAGCTTTCTAGATGTAAAGACTAGGGATGTCAAATGGTCCCGAGGAGAAAGTTGGACGACATTATTTTATTTGGTGGACCTTGAGTTCCCTGACATATATCTTTGTGGATAAGCCCTAGGAGGATTTGATTTCTCATGTTTGGCATCCAATATGGTGAAGGTGTCTAGGTCGAGGAGAGGCATAGGTTTCTAGTAGTCTTTGTGATGGTTGAGGAAGTGGGAGTGTTGTCCGGTCAATAATGGTGGGAGTATTTTGGAGGTGAGAGCTTCTAGTTCGTCGCACCTTGAGTTGCTTTGCATTTCATAGTCAACACTTCGGAGATGGGTGGGAAGGGTTCATGAAAGTGCTTAAGGGATTTGATCCAAGAGGAGGGAGTGAATTGCCAAAGAATATAGCCTTGTACTCCTAGCCAGGTTGATTCCAAAGGGGCATAAGGGGGAGGTCGGTGTCAATTAGAGGAGGGGGAGGAAGGATTGTGATGTTGAGGTTGATCTTTCTTCCAATTCCAATGTGATGAAGAATGTTGAGAATTGTGTAGTAGGTAGGACGGAACGAGTGGCTTTGAACCATAGTCTGGATGCAACATTGGTGAAAAGGTGGGTGGACAACATTGGGATGTCCTGGCAGTGGTCAAAGTGTGGTGCGCTTTACCTCTTCATCTTCATCGAAAACGAGTGGGCCAATAAAAGCTTTCTTGATTCTCGAAAAGTGGATATAGTTGTCTATAGGAAACTTATTTGAGAGTTGGATACTATGGTGGTTAGTGTTTGGGGTGGTAGATTGGTGGAGTGGGAGCACTTAGGAGCTGTGTATAATGCAGGTGGTGTTTTTCTTATGTGGCATAGGATAGGAGGGTGTTGTCCAAGGAGGATTGTGAAGCTGGGTCTTTTTCTGTTTCTTGTCTCTTCAAATGGCCAGTGATGACTTTAGGTGGGTATTTTTTAGGACTCTATGGCCTGATGGAGGATAATATCTGGACACAAATGTGGGAGGAATTGTTAGATGTGGCTTTCAGGTTGGAGGCACCTTCTTGTTTATGGAGAATTTCAATGTTATTTGGTTCCCCTGTGAGAGGTTGGGTTGCTCTCAAGTCTCTCAACCTATGAGTGATTTCTCTGGTTTCATTGATGACCTGGGTTTGCTGAATCTTCCATTGGTGGGTGGTGTTTATACTTGGTCAAACTCTCAGGAAGATCATTATATGTCTCGTATTGATAGGTTCTTTGTCTCTGCGGATTGGGAGGAGCATTTCTCAGATGTGGTGCAGGTTTTGTTGCCGAGGCCAATGCCTGATCACTTGTCTTTCCTCCTGGATTGTGGGGCCATCAGGAGGGGAGGTCTCCTTTCAGATTTGTGTGTGGCTGCAAGTAATGGGCTTCTAGGACATGGTTAAGGATTAGTGGAGATGATCAGAATACCTGTTTTTTTTTCATAGGATGACAAATGTACATGGATGGGTTAATTTTATTGATTAGATTAGAGTTGGTGATTGGGTGTTGAGTTCAGAGGAAGAAATTAGTAGTGGAATTGCTTGGTTTTATGTGGTGCTTTTTGCAAAATCTAGGAGATGGAAAGGTTAGAGCTTTATCCGTATTTCTGAGGTGGACATGTCTAGCTTGGAGTAAAGAGGAGATTGTTATGGCCTTCAAATCCTTAAATGGGGATAAGGATGTGTCTACTTATATGGTGAATATTTGATTAAGTTGCTGCCTTACTGTATGGTCATTCTGCCATTTTTGTTGCTTTGCAAAGTTATAGCTAGTTGAATAAATTATTTTTTATTTTTTGTTTTTGTTGTAGAGTTCAATCTGTCTGATAAACAAGCTGAGGCGATATTAGACATAAGCCTGAGAAAGCTTACACTGCTTGAGGTGCAAAGCAATCGCACTGCTAATTTTTTTTTTACATTTTCTTGGTGAGGATTTCCAGAGCTATGATTCTTCTATTACCATCATATTAAAGAGCTTTTGTACTCATAATTTTGCAGAGAAATAAGTTTGTTGATGAAAGTAATTCCTTAATGGAACAAATTTCCAAGTTACAAGAACTTTTGTCAAGCAAAAAGCAAATCCTCCAGGTATACACAGGTTAATTTCTTATGTGTAGTCAACCTAGTCTTGAATTATGCACTGTGATTTTAATACTGGTTTCCTATGCAGCCTTTATAGATAGATTGTAAGAATTTCTGATAATTAGTTCCCTGGCCATTTAAGTGTGTGTGCTTTGATATTAGTAGCTTATGATGTGGATGTTGATAGCATGTATATGTGATAGTAGCTTCGGTTCTTATTCTAGCTCATTTGGGTGGTGTCATCTAGGTTCTGTCCTTCCTTTTTCTTGAATCTCCTGTCTCTATTAATGAATTGTAAGATTGCCAATTGCCAACCATCATCTCAGGAACTTGGATGGGTGCATGTAGCACAGATGATAGATATTTGAACCATGCTGACTGTTTGGCAGGACTTGTGTATGCCAATACGACATGGCTGGTGTATGTTGTGACTGCATGCAAGAAGTAAAACTCATAGACATGACCCAATCTAATGTGATGTGAGATAATGATCTTGAGATTGTATGAAAATGACAAGTGGCATGCATATAGGCCCTATTTGATTGTAGGATTAGGAGGGGGCAAGGGGCTGGCTGACAGTTGGGCCCCACATGTCGACTGCTAGTGCTAGATTTATGGCTTGAATTCATACTCCCTCATTACAGCACAGAAACCCTAGTTGCAAGGACTTGGGAAATGGATTTCTCTTTTTGGATTGTTTTATTTGTTCAGTTATATATGTGTATTTAGGCCTCGTTTGGGAACAGGCTAATTTAGTAACTTTTTGGCTATTTGGCTAAAAAGGTAGGTAAAAAAAACTTGTATGTTTGGGATGACTTTTTGGCTAATTACGAAAAGATGTGCAAAAAGTAGAGAGAAAAGAGAATCTTTGACTTTTTGGTATGAGTTGTTGGCTTTTTGGCTAATTTAGTAACTTTTTGGCTAATTGGCTAAAATAACCTCTTGCCAAGCGAGGCCTTAGATAAACATTAATTTTTGAGCTGTTTTGTATTAAAGTATTCCTTAAGGGGTGATTTATTTTCTCTGAATGTAAAGAATAGCAGTAAACAGCACACTGCAAGGATTCCCCTATATTCCACTTTTTTATGGAAAGATTCACATTTTTTAATTTTCTTCTAGTTGTTTTTCTAAAACTAATTTTACAATATGATTTTATTTTCTTGTAAATTTGAAGATAATTGGGTTCTTGTTTAAAAGATTTTATTTTCTAGATCCTCATATGGTTACTTCTTATATATGCATGTGACTTGGAATGGATTCTCATTGAATGATATAGACATTATTAACCTATATTAGTTTGTTAGTTGATCCCTTTCACTTTTTGCTACTTAGTTGATAGAACAAGAAGCAATTGAACTAAAGAACAAGTTTTCCACTCCAAGGCGTTCATTGTTGGAGGACACTGATAGTGGTATACTTGAAGACATAGATGTTATCCCAAACGAAGAAATACTACTGGTATTCGACTCATGCATTATTTTACTCTCGAGCCTGATATATATATTTTATTATCATTTTGTTATTCTCGATAGTTCTTGGTTACAATTCCAGGCACTTAGTGAGAAGGGTTATGTTAAACGAATGAAGCCCAACACATTTAATCTTCAAAATCGTGGAACCATTGGTAAATCAGTTGGGAAATTAAGAGTAAATGACACAATGTCCGACTTCCTTGTTTGTCATGCGCATGACCATGTCCTATATTTCAGGTACTTCTCCTGCACTTTAATTTTCATCTTCTATTGATTGTGATGGCTTCACTCTTCTAACTCTTCATATGTTTTGTTCATTAAATATGCTACCTAGGTTTTGTTTGCTGCATACGATGTGTTTTTCTTCTCTTGGTTTCTGAACATGAGTTATCAGTGAAACTTGCGGTGGAATAAGTTGGTTTGGCATCAACCAAGAACCGAACCAAACCTGGCCTGTTTTAATATTTTGAGGATCTTGACCGAATGAAATTCAGATAGAGCTGAACCACCTAGCTTGAGCTTTTGTGGATTGAGTCTATAAGCTTTAAACACCAAATGATCCTAACTTTTCTTTCTTTCATTTCTTTTTCCTTCTTGTTTGACTGTTTAATGTGCGGTAAAATATTGTATCTGAGCCTTTGATGCACTGCCTGCTGAGCCCAACTAAAAGTTGAGTTATAACATAGGTATTACGAACTTTAGAATCTCTATCCACCGGTCATATCAAACATTTTGTAGTTGATTTTGATTCTCATCAATTCCCCCCTTAGATCAACAATCTTGGTAAGAAATAAAAACTACTTTTGCAGTGATAAGGGCATAGTTTACTCAGCTCGGGCATATAAAATTCCAGAATGTTCCAGGGCTGCTGCTGGCACCCCACTTGTTCAGGTACAGGACCTTCCCCTTCCATGCCATCAAATATTTGGATGTTGCCTTTTTCCTGTTTTCTAAAGGTTATCCTTGTTTTCCATGGTGGAGCCAGATCTTGTCCTTATCTGATGGTGAAAGAATAACTTCCATTATTCCTGTGAGCGAGTTTGCTGGAGATCAGTATCTTCTTATGCTTACTGCAAAGGGCTATATCAAGAAAGTATCTTTGAACTATTTCTCATCAATCAGGTCAACGGGGATTATAGCAATTCAATTGGTTTGTCTTCCAATTCTTGTATTAATTTTAGTTTGGTGCGTAATAATAAGAGTATTATTGTAGGCCTCATACATTAACTTGACAGGTTCCAAGTGATGAATTAAAATGGGTCCGTCGTTGCACAAATGATGATCTTGTGGCCTTGGCTTCACAAAATGGAATGGTTATTCTGAGTTCCTGTAAGATTGTAAGTGATCTTTCTGTACTTGTGTCATATCAAAGAACTGGAATTGCTGAACCAAGATGCAATTGGTTAGATTAACCAGTTGTTATTTTATTTATTTAATTTTGTGGAAGTAACATGAGCAAAGAAAGAATATATGCTCTTGTTTTTGGTTTCTTTTTAGATTCTTTTGTGTGTGAGTGATCAAATAACAGAATAAATAAGATGGCCAGGGCTGCATTTATTGCTTTTGTTTCTCTTGTTTTACTCAATTTAGTTGAGATTCATGTCTTTGAGCTTTTGCAGGCTTGGAACCTTTTTTCCCGCAATGTTTTGTTTGTTTGTTTGTTTCAGACTTGAATGAAAAACTTGTAGGATAATCATGCACTTCTTTTTAGATGAGTGGAACTGGGAGAGGAGATGTATTCATTTAAGAAACAAGAACAGTTTGAAGTATTTAGAATGATCAAGAGAATGTTCTGCTGCCTTAATTCTGTTCAAATAAAAGTAACCATAAAAGTAATCCATTTGAGAGTGTTTCTTTATCTTTTTATTCTATTGATTTGGACTCTTCATTCTTTTGCAATTTTTTCTTGCAATTCTTTTTAAATAAGATCATTGATAATCCTAATATTCCGATATTTATCCCTCTCAAGTTCATTTGGGGTGCATATGTGCCCCCAAAGGTTGAAGTTTTTTCATGGACTTCGGCTTATATGAAGCTTTAGTATCTATGAAATAATTCGAAAGTGAAGTACAAATTTTTCTTCGCTCCCTCAACGGTGAGACGTTTGTGCGAGGGCTGAGAAGTGCATTGATCAATTGTTTTTACACTTCCCCATTGTGATGTCATATGGAGTGTATTTCAGCTAGCAGAGTTGGAGTGGGTCGTACCTCTTTGTGTGCTTTTGCTTTGTATTGACTTTGGAGGCTTTGGATTGAATAATAAAAAGGCTCTTTCGAGTTGTGGTGTTTGTGTGGTTATTTGTATTGTTTGGTTAGAAAGGAATGCTAGAGTTTTTGAAGACAAATACAAAGACTGAGGGGGTATTTTTGGGATACAGATTGTTATTGCGCTTCTTTTTTGGGCTTTGGTATCTTCTCCTTTTAAGGGGATGCTTTTATTTTTTATTTCTAGGTTTGGAGAGTTGTTCGTAGACGGTTCTGTTTTTTGTAATTTCTCTCTTTTGGTTCAGTGGACAGCTTGTCCCCCTTCTTTTTATTGATAAATTTCTTTGTTGTCAAAAAGAAAAAGGAAAAATAGCCCTATGTGGATGCCATCCAGCTTATGTACTGCATCACAATCCTTGTAAGATCTGGAACATCGTTGATTTGACTACTTGTTGATTTGGTACATTTATATGTACAATAGAAATATGTATATTTGTGTAGCTCTTATAAGTCTTAACGACAACAGTACAGTGACATGGGGTTCATGGTGGTTGTCTGATTATATTATACCATATATTATCATCTCTCACTAAGTAGAAGATTTTACATATCTTGACCTTGTCTCTGCTTGATTGAATGCTGAAATGTTGCTGTTTTAGTTTGTTTTTCTATCAATCTTTATTCCTTTTTTTATCTTTTTCTATTGTTTTTTTTCTTCTTTTTTATAAGCTCAACATTTAAGAACTTCCCTGCTAGAAATTTTCTGTTCAATATCTTCATTTCATCTGGTCTGTAGCTGTCTTAATGGGTGATTCATTGCTTGTTTTTCATAGCCTTGTGATTCTGTAGATGTTCTGTACTTCTAATGGTATATTCCTTTTAAATTCGTTGTATTTTGGCTTAGATTCGAGCTCTTGGAAGAAATACTAGGGGTTCAATTGCAATGAGGCTAAAGGAAGGGGATAAAATGGCATGCATAGACATAATACCAGCAGTCATGCGGAAAGAGTTTGAGAGGATCTCAGAAGCTAATCAGGGCCGGTAATTCCTGAACCATTCTCATGGATTTCCACAAGTTTGATACCACTTCTGAGTTGCTACTTTACCAGGCTGTCGACCAAACTCAGCAGACACAAAGTCTGGAGTTATTTTTTTGGACCTTTGCTGTCTTTTGTTATGAGTAAGCCGTAAGCATCTGCCTTCTGTATGTAAATTTAGTACTAGTCTTTTGGTTATGTTGTATTTGATAGTCCAGTTACTACTAGTATGGCCATATCCAGCCGATACCCAGTATAGTTTTTTTTAGGTATTAGTTCTTATTCATGATGTTTTATATATACATTGGATTCAGTTTCCTGAAAAATGTGCAACATATTTATAGCCTTGCAACCCTTGAGTTGATGATAGTTCTTAGAGAGTGTTCTAGTTCTGAGAACCATGGTTATTGCAATCTTACGATTCGATACGAGTTTCAACTAAAATGATTTGATTCGTATTGTTATCATCTTAAATTGAATGAATCTTACAGTTCGCTACGAATCAATGCGATTCAATTTTGCTTCCAAATGCATGAAACGACATCGTTTTTTCACTTGCAAAAAAGAAAGAAAGAGAGATTAATTAATTACAGGAATACATTAATATACATATAATTTAGTTAGATTCATAATTATTTCATTTTTATAAATGTGAATTTTTGTATGCATATATATCATGTTAAATAAAGTGAATCTTATGATTCATGATTTGACAATAATGCTGAGAACTGAATCTTTTGTTCATATGCCCCTTGCCTGTTGCAATTGCATTCACATTTAAATCCTTCCAGTTTAAGTTCTATTTTTTCATTCATACAGTGAGCGTTGTCCACAATTATTTTTCCATATTTTTTCCTTTCTAGTAATTAATTTATCTTTGAAACAGTGGCAGGAGCATGAGTGGCCCATGGTTGTTGTTTGTGTCTGAGAGTGGTTTTGGAAAGCGAGTTCCTCTCTGTAGCTTCCGCTTATCACCTTTGAATAGGGTTGGTTTAATAGGTTACAAGGTATGTTGGATGAATTACTTTCTCAGTAAAATTAAAATTAAAAAAGAAATATATTATTATTTGCATCTTCTTCTTCTATAACATTTTTTCTGCTTCCCTTTTCTAGTTTTCATCTGAAGATGGCTTGGCAGCAGTATTTGTTGTGGGATTTTCCTTGGCTGGTAATGTTGTGATTATTTCAACCATTTTTGGTGTTTCTATTCACTACTGGGAATGACCATATTGGTGCTTAATGTTTTGAGCAGATGATGGCGAAAGTGATGAAGAAGTGGTACTCTTGAGCCAGAGTGGGACAGTCAACAGAATAAAAGTTCGGGACATATCCATACAGTCACGCTATGCGAGGTAACCGTGAGATAAAATCATTTAATTATAGTGTAACTGGTAACCTGCTGAAAAATTGTCTAGCTCATTCATATTGTCCAATTTTTAATTTTTCTGAAAGGAGAAATTCATTTTTCTTATTTTTATGTGAATTTTACTCCGTGATCCATATGTGAGTATTTGTCCCAATCTCCTACATGGCATGCCATGTCACATCCCAATGCCATGTTATCATCTCCATGAGCTTGGATCCACATGTCAGCTTTTTGAAGTGAGACATGTACCAATCGCACAATTCCATATGCTCCCATACAAGGTTGAGCCATGCCGACTGAGGCTAACATACACTGGCCTTGTGAGGCACCTCCCAGTCTACTAACCCAAACACGCTTGAACCATCCCTCAGCTTGATCCTGTTAGGATCAAACACACCCAGAAAATAATCTCTCTCACACACAGAATATAATATTTACGTGGTTCAGCCCAATGTCTACGTCCACGGAGCAGAAAAGAGAATTTCACTAAAATGGAGCAAAATACAAAAACAGAGGAGGAGATAAAACTCTCACTCAACTCACAACTTTCTCTCTCAATTTTCTGATGATACAATACATCCTCTCCCTGCTGTCTCTATTTATACACAGAGAGAGAGAGTGATACCAACCCACCAAAAATTTCTACCCTCTTTAATGGTGAATGGTGAAAATCGACAAAGGCAACAACGGGAAGAGAAGGGAGAGCTGATCTTCCAGATGCCCAGCTCACACCTCCTTCTCTAGAGGTGGAAGTTTTCTTACGCCATCTTTGCTTTGCATCTCTACATGCATGCATGGGGTTGGAACAACAATTCTCCCCCTCCATACCCACATGCATGACCGACTTCTCACTTGAAGTCCATCCCGGCAATGTCTCTGCAAATTTTGAGTTTGTCTCTCGAGACCACCTTTGTAAGCATGTCAGCTGGATTCTTATCTGTGTGGATCTTGATCAGTTCCAATAATTGCTTGTCCATCACTTCGCGTATCCAATGATATCGAACATCAATGTGCTTTGTGCGAGAATGGTACATCGAATTCTTGCTCAGGTCTATGGCACTCTGGCTATCACAATATACTGCGAACTTTTCTTGCTGTAATCCTAACTCTTGGAGAAACCGCTTCAACCCCAACATCTTTTTCCTAGCTTCCGCTATGGCAATATATTTTGCCTGGGTTGTGGATAAAGCAGCACACTTCTGCAGCTTGGACTGCCAAGACACAGCTGCCCCTGCGAAAGTGAACATAAATCCTGATGTACATTTCCTACCATCAAGATTGCCTGCCATATCTGAATCAGTATAGCCTTCCAAGACTGGTTTAGCTCCTCCAAAGCACAAACACATTTTGGATGTACCCTTAAGGTATCTTAAAACCTACTTGACTGTTTCCCAATGCTCTTTTGTTCTTTCCCTGGATTGGAAAGAAATCTGCTTACTACTCTAATAACATGAGCAATATTTGGTCGGGTGGATACCATTGCATACATCAAACTCCCTACGGCGGATGAGTAGGGAATAACCTCCATTTCTTCTCTTTCTTTTGTAGAGGAGGGACAAGAACTCTTGTTTAGCTTAAAATGATTAGCCAATGGAGTACTGATTGGCTTGGCATCTTTCATGTTGAACTTCTCAATCACCCGTTCAACATACTTCTCCTGTGACAGTCACAACTTCTTGGCTTTCTTGTCACGCATAATTTTCATGCCCAAAATTTGCTATGCAGGGCCTAGGTCCTTAATGTCAAAGGACTGTGATAATTCCTTCAGTGATCTGATTGTTGTGGCATCCTGTCCAACGATCAGCATGTCATCAACATAGACCAGAAGTATAATGAAGCTTTCATCGAGAAATTTCCTGACATATACACACTGGTCTAAAGTAGTTCTCTTGTACTCATGACCCACCATGAATGAGTCAAACTTCTTGTACCACTGTCTCGGCGCTTGTTTGAGGCCGTAGAGGCTCTTTTAATCTGCAAACTAAGTTTTCTTTCCCTTTAACTTCAAAATCATCTGGCTGCTCCATATAAATTTCTTCCTTCAGATCACCATGGAGAAATGTCGTCTTCACATCCATCTGTTTAAGTTCCAAATTCAAACTAGCCGCTAGTCCCAAAACTACTCAAATGGATGTCATTTTTACAACTGGCGAGAAGATTTCATCAAAATCAATACCTTTTTTCTGCCTAAAACCTTTGACAACCAATCGAGCCTTATACTTGACTAGCTTTCCGCTACCATCTTTCTTCAACTTGAACACCCATTTGTTCTTCAGTGCTTTTCGACCCTGGGGAAGTTTCACCAAATTATAAGTCTGATTCTTCTACAAGGACTGCATCTTTTCTTGCATAGCTTGCTGCCAGCTACTCTTCTCCTTATGATTCTGAGTTTCTTGAAAACTTTTTGGCTCCCCCTCATCAGTAAGCAAAATATACTCAGAAGCAGGGTATTTGGATGACAGCTTTGACTCTCTTGTTAATCTTCACAATTGTGGACCAACAGTCTTTAGCGGAGGGGGTTGTGGCTCCCCTTGCTCAACACCCTCTGTTTCTGGATCTTCTTCTTTTGGAAATCCATCCTGTAACTCTATGTCATTGGTTGCATGTTGCGGTAGCTCTTCTTCGTTAGTGGCATGCTGTGATGGTGCAGGATTGGGAATAATGTTTGAAACATGATCAACTTTGGGTTTGGCTTGTTGCCTAAAGTCTTCTCAGGTCTTGCTTTCTTGAAACACCACATTTCGGTTTCGAATGACCTTTTTATTTTTCGGATCCCATAATCTGTATCCAAATTCTTCATCTCCATAGCCAATAAACATGCATGGAGTAGCTTTATTATCCAGCTTCTGTCTGTGCTCCTTGGATATATGTGCAAATGCTTTGCACCCAAACACTCTCAAGTGAGAGTAAGAAATCTCCTTTTCAGACTATACTTTTTCTAGAATTTGAAAGTTCAGTGGAACGGATGGCGATTTGTTGATTAGATAGCAAGCAACACGAATAGCTTCTCCTCAAAATGGCTTTGGCAGCTTTGCCATTTTGAGCATTCATCTGACCTTCTCTACAATGGTCTGATTCATTCTTTCGGCTACACCATTGTGATGTGGGGTTTCAGGAACAGTCTTCTCATGTCGAATGCTGCGAGTAGCATAGCAGGCTTCAAACTCCTTTGACGTGTACTTGCTTCCATTGTCTGTTCAGAGACACTTCAACTTCTTTCCGGTCTCCCTTTCTACCATGGCATGGAATGTCTGAAATTGCTGGAACACCTCAGCTTTGGTCTTTAGGATATAAACCCATACCTTCCGTGATGCATCATCAATAAACGTCAGCAACTATTTTCTGCCACCCAAAGATTCCACTTCTATGGGATCGCAAACATCAGAGTATACTTTGCTCAATAACTCTGATTGTCTTCTGGATGATGAGTGGAAAGCGACTTTATGATGTTTCCCAAATAAGCAGTTGTCACAAGGGTTCAATTTCGCATCTTTGGTAAAGGGAATAAGAGACTTCTTTTCTAAAATCTGCGACCCTTTTTCACTTATGTGACCCAGCTTTTTGTGCCATAAATTTGGTGATGCCTCATCTTCTACTGCATTGAGGCTGTCGAAGTTCACCTCCACATGAGTCTTGTATAGCGTGCCAATTGTCTGTCCTCTGGCTACCACCAGAGATCCCTTCTTCAACTTCCATATGCCTTTGCCTAAGTAGTTCTCATAGCCTTGTCGATCTAAGGCTATCCCTGAGATAAGATTCAGGCGTAAATCGGGAACATGCTTGACATCTTTCAATACCATTGAGCACCCAACTTTGGTTTGGATGCGAATATCACCGATTCCCACAATCTTCGAAAAACTGGAGTTACCCACCTTCACTGTACCAAAATCTCTAGCTTGGTACGTACTGAAGAACTCCTGCTGGGATGTAGCGTGGTAGGAAGCTGGTGTATCTACCATCCACTCGGTGTCGTTGTCTGACATATGGAGGCATTCTTCTTCTTCAACAGAAAATAATGCAATATGCTCTAAGACAGTAACTGCAGTGTTCCCATCTTCGGTCTTTGACTGTCTATTGTCTTGTTTTTGTTCTCCCTTCAAGGCATAGCAATATTTCTTTATGTGACCCTCTTGGCCACAATGGTAACACTTGAACCTTGGACAGCTCGTACCTTCTCTGGACTTCCCTCTGTCTTGAGATCTTCCTCTGCTTCGTTCTCTGCTTTTGCTTCTTCCCTTGCCTCTGCCTCTATTTTCTGTGACGAGGGCATGGGACTAATCTCCACTCATGTCTTTCTTTCTTGCCTCTTCACTAAATAAAGCATCAGTGACCATGTTTATGGTCAGTCTTCCTTCAGGTGCAGAGTTGCTGAGGGACACCACCAAAGTCTTCCAACTGTCTGGTAAAGAGTTGAGCAGCAATAAAGCCTGATCTCATCATCCAACTCCATTTTGACAGTTGCCAGTTGGTTCACTAGATTTTGAAACTCACTAGTGTATTTAGCAACAGAGATACCGCATTTTAGCTTCAAATTCACAAGTATTCCCATCAGGAAGGCATTGCTCCGAGCAATCTTCATCTGGTACATGCCTTCTAACTTCATCCAGAGAGCATAGGCATCAGTCTCCTGGGCGACATGGTGGAAGACACTGTGATCGATCCATTGTCTGATCTGGCTAATGGTTTTTCGATTATTTCGCTTCTAGTCTTCATCATTTCTCGTTGCTGGTTTGACTCCATGAAGCTTAATGGGGTCAAACAAATCTCGGCAGTACAAGACATCTTTCATTCTGGGCTTCCAAATGGCATAGTTGGAAGCATTCAACTTGATCATGGATCCCGAAGTCGATGTTAATTCCTCCATCATACAGAAAGTGATCTTTGTCTGCAAAACAAGTTTCGCAGTGGAGTTCGGACTGGTCATATTAGCCGGAAAAGCACTTCGGATTGCCAAAATAAAGACTGCAAATTTTTGAAAACTGATTTGCAAAATCCGACCGTACGGATGTGTTCGGAATATTCCAAATAATTGAAAAGCACTATTGGATCGCCCAAATTGGACCTCAAATGGCTCAGATCAAGCCAAAACAAGTTGAACGGTTCAGATCGGTGAAATCTGGTGCGGCTGAGAAGCACCAGATAATTTCTTCGGTCCATTTGGCGTCAGCGGCTGACGGCACGGCTTGGTCAGCGGCTCTGGTCAACGTGGCTTAGTCAGCAGCTCAGATGACGTCAGGTCGTCTAGTGCGCGTGTGTGCTTGCGCATGGGATCACACGTCTTTCGGACTGGTCATATTAGCCGGAAAAGCACTTCGGATTGCCAAAATAAAGACTGCAAATTTTTGAAAACTGATTTGCAAAATCCGACCGTACGGATGTGTTCGGAATATTCCAAATAATTGAAAAGCACTATTGGATCGCCCAAATTGGACCTCAAATGGCTCAGATCGGTGAAATCTGGTGCGGCTGAGAAGCACCAGATAATTTCTTCGGTCCATTTGGCGTCAGCGGTTGACGGCACGGCTTGGTCAGCGGCTCTGGTCAACGTGGCTTAGTCAGCAGCTCAGATGACGTCAGGTCGTCTAGTGTGCGTGTGTGCTTGCGCATGGGATCACACGTCTTTTTCCTCTGGAAGCACATGAGAACGGCGTCAGTGGCACTTGTGGCGTATGCGGAGTCGTCTGAGCTCCGTTTTCGACGCAGTTTTCACTGTTGTGCTCATCTCATCGAGAGCTTCAAGCTGATGTGATCAAAAGTGGATTTCGATCACTTTGATTTCTGGGCAATTTTTGAAAAACACTCAGGCCTTGTTTGGTTTGTTTTTTAGAAAAAATTTTGAGAAAAATTTTCTACAAACAGATTTTCAAGAGTAATCAAACTAAATAAATTTTTTTAAAAAAAATTTCAAAATTTTGTTTGGTTACCTACTTTCCAAAATCACTCTCTCATACACATCAAATCAATCACTTTTTTTAAAACTCTTTTCCCAAAACAATTTTCCAAAACCATTTATGAAAAAAGACAAACTAAACAAGTTTTCATACTTTTTATCTCAAAAACTACTCTATAAACACAAATCAAACACACCCTCTGTTTTTCTAAAAACGCACGAAACTAGCTCTGATACCACTTTGTTAGGATCAAACACACTTAGAAAATAATCTCACACACACAGAGAACACAATATTTACGTGGTTCGGCCCAATGCCTACGTCCACGGAGCAGAAAAGCGAATTTCACTAAAATGGAGCAAAATACAAAACAGAGGAAGAGATAAAACTCACTCAACTCACAAATCTCTCTCAATTTTTTGATGATACAATACATCCTCTCCCTCCCGTCTCTATTTTTATACACAGAGAGAGAGAGAGAGAGATACCAACCCACAAAAAATTTCTACCATCTTTAATGGTGAATGGTGAAAATCAACAAAGGCAACAACGGGAAGAGAAGGGAGAGCTGATCTTCCAGATGCCGAGCTCAGACCTCCTTCTCTGGAGGTGGAAGTCTTCTCACGCCACCTTTGCTTTGCATCTCGACATGCATGCATGGGGTTGGAACAACATATCCATCTTTATTTGTAAAGACTTGCTAAATTATTTATCTCTTCCCACCAGTGCATCCACAACTATTAGTATGATAAGGTTGATTGCAGCTTTAGGTTGAGAATCAGAAAAGTCATTCCATCTTTCCTTCTTCAAAACTCTTGCATATGTTACCGTATCAGCTGTTTGCATGAAAACTACTCTTACGATACTCTAGGGTGGGTTCCAACCCAAGAAGCATAGACAAGCTGACTCGTTAATTTTTTAAAAACTACAAGACACGACACATGGGGGCACAAAAAAATATATAACTTCATACATTTGTTATGTCATATATAAGGATTAGCAATTATTATGTCATGAACATGAACATTTATTCAATGATGATAACTAAATACAATACACTAATTTCTAAAGTCGAAAAAGAGGAGAATAAGTATAAATTTACATTGTTTTTTTTGGCATTGAATTTCAAGATATTTTATTTAAGCTTATAATGTGCTTTATGTGTGTCTAAGCGATACACGTATTGTGAAGTGTCTGATTAGTGTTGTGTCGGTGTTCGACATGGTGTCTAACACGATACGATACCTTTTTTAAAGTGCATGTGCTTCTTAGGTTCCAACTAGATTGGGAAAATTCTCTTTTTGCCAGCACTCTTTTGTGTTCAATGGTTCAGCCCTCAACATGGAGAAGGGTGAGGGATGGCTCGTGCCATGATATTCAGCAAATATTTTTTTTTTGTTTGGTGTTTTATATATAGAATGAAAAACTTGTAGTTCACGAATAATGCTATGGGTCATGCTAACAAGTGCCCAAGGCACTTGATAAGGAGTAATTAATGGGTTTACTTTCATTAATACATATTGAAATTTGTTAAATCTTAATGAATAATTTGTTTTGTGCATAGAAAATGTAAAGAATTAATTATAAAATATGGTGTATAAATTTAAAAGCTACTGAAATAGTCAAAACAATAAAAGCATCTAATTAAATGCACAAGTTAAAAATAGAAAGATTGAAATGAAAGTCATTGTGTTTGGTTTTAATTTTTTGGATTTAATTTTTTTTAAATTGAGTTTTTTTGCTTTTAGTGAATATTTTAAAAAAAAATTTAGATGTATTTGAATAGTAAAATATTTATAAAAATATATTTTAAAATTTTAATATATACACAAGAATACGAAAAATGTATTGAATTTATATATATATATTTATTTATTTATTTTTTGTATTTTTGGTGTTTAGTGAATTTTTTAAAGATTTTTTTTCCATAAATATTATATTTTTTAATTGTATTTATGTTAGGTATATCTAAAAAAAAAAAAAAAATTACTTAGAATGTTAAAAAAAAATCAATGAAAACATAAAAATACAAAAAATAAAAAAATTTAATTTTTTAAAAGGTGAGTTTGGAAAACTCAAACCAAACAATTATAAATACACCTGACAAGTGCCCTGAGGCACTTGCTAGCATTAGCCTCATACTAATTGTTTGTACAAAATTGATTTGAATGTTCTAAAATAGTAACATTAATGCTAGCTCTAATGAGTTGGCAGTGCAGGAGAAAAAAATAAAAATAAAAATAAAGGCTAAATTATCACATCAGTGGTGGGGTTTATATGGTGTCACGTCATTAGTGGTGTGTTGAATTAGTGGTCTGAAATATTTTTCTTGTTTGTATGCGAGCTTGAATTGTGGAAGGATTTAGTGTCTTATCATTTAGTGCTCTCTCTCTCATATCAATCGTACACCTTTGTTTTTTCTTTCCAGGGGGGTCATTTTGATGCGACTTGAGCACGATGGAAAGATTCAGTCTGCTTCATTGATTTCTGCAACAGAAAGCGAGCCAGAGGAAGTTGAAGCTGCCTCTGAGGTTCTAAGTAAAGCCGTTGCATAGAAAATGGGAGTGTTTGGTGTTGATAGTAAAAATTTAAATTGTAGTATAAGGAAATCTTTGTCCTAATCATGAAACTGTCAACTGTGCTTTTAATGTTCAATGAGTAAGTCTTTGTTCTTGAGTTTTGAGTTCTCCCTCTTTTTCAGCTCTTAGGGCTTGTCTTGAATATTTATCTTTGTGATTAGTTAATGATTGTGTAGAACAATGCTGCGATTGCAAAAATAAAAATAAAATTTTTTTGGCACGGCACTCTTGCTAATAGAGGCGGCCTTTTGATTTGTTTTTTTTCCTCTAGAGATAGAAGGGCAAAGATGAAACAATGTAGGTATGAATTGTCAATTTCAAATCATAGAACTTTGGACTGAAACCCCAGAAGTTGTGGACTACGTTTTTTTTTATATTTGTTTCTTTTATTTATAGTCAAAGCAACAAAGACAGTAATGTCCAGAGTAAATACAGAAAGCAAAACAAGGTACTAAATTAACACACAAAGTTAGAAATCCAAAGGGACTCATCATCATCATCATCATGACCCCAGCTGAGATTCTTGATTTATTTATTTATTAGTACTAAATTAAACCGGGGACTAATTATTCTATTTCTTTGTCTTTTTCTTTGCAAAATTTTGTTAAAACGAAATTTTTTCACACCTTTTTGAGTAGGTCAATTATTGTTATTTTTATAGCAAATATGGAAAATAATGGAATTCATGTTTCTTACTATTAAATGTGCACACAATAACTATCCAAAAAACAAGTAGTGCACACAAAAATGTGGTATAGAGCTGAGCTACCAATTAATTTCAATGAGTGACTGCATTTAAAATTAAAATTCAAAACAACTTTTTTTTGATATCTGAGTGTTTGGATCAGCGTTCGCGCACCTCGATTAATCTCGGGGTCTTGAAGTTAGGCAAATCTCTAGTAACATAAGGTGTGACTCGAACAAAATTCAAAACAACTTAAAAGGAAATAACTTAAAATGACAGTGATGATATACTTGAACACATTCTAAAAGTCTTAAAGTTTTTTAAAACTGAACTTGAACAACATAATACTTGGCTTAATAATTATTATAATAATTTAAATATATTTTTTTTGAAATTGGTTTGTTATACAAACGAGTCAAATTTAAACATGTTTCAAAACTTAATAAAAATCAAATTTAAGCAACTCTCTATTGATCTTAACTCTGCTGGAAGTAGGGGTGTGCATAATACCGCCGAAACCCCCGAAACCGCCAAAACCGCACCGCCAAGGCAAATTCGTTATTATTTGCCAATCAAACCGCCGGTTTTTGGTAAGAAAAATGGCAAATTTTAGTAACACTTTTATTAATCCGCCGGTTTCTATTTTTTTTCCAAACCGTACCGACCCGCACTGCTATTAAATCATGTTTTATAAGATTCTAAAAATTCTTTTTTACTTAAGTTTGCTTGTTGTTCTATACCTTAGAATATAGTATTACATTACTGCTCGAGGGGAATTCAAGATGTCAGTAATCTAAAATAAAGTTGGATTCCAATTCACTTTTAAAGATGCTTAACATCACGGTATCTCTCGTCTTTTTTTTACTCTTTGATTTAAGTTTTGTAATTTGAATTATATTTTTTATAAACCGCCAATCTGCCCGAACCGCTAAGGCAAATCCGCCATTATTTGCCAACCGAACCGCCAGTTTTTGATAAGGAAAATGGCAAATTCTAGTGGCACTTTTATCAATCCGCCACCCGCCATACGGTTTCTATTTTTCTCTCAAACCGCACCGACCCGCACCGTGCACACCCCTAGCTGGAAGTGATGACACATACTGAAATCGTTAATAATCTTATTTAAATTCAAAATTTATAAAAATTAAAACATTTTTTCAATTGAAAACTGATTTTTTTTTTTTTTAAAACAAATTGAAAGAAGAGAAAATTGTTGAAAAATCTCCTTCAACAATTACCTAAGCCTTATGTCCGTAGAATTTTTTTATTAGTGAAAGGTCCGACCTTTGTTTTTAAAGACATTTTGTTTTCAATTTTACCCGTCTATCTATTGAAAGTTTTTCCTGTTTGTTGATTTTTTTTTTCTATCTGTTGAAAATATATGTGTGAAATTCTATCTGTTAAAATTTCTGTCCTATTTTTTTCCTTTCTTTGTTCAAATATCTCACCAAATTTGATTATCTGTTCAATTTTTTTTTTTTTTAATCAATCTATGTAAAGCTATCTATAAGTTATTTTCATTATAAAGAGAGTTATCTGTTGCAATTGCTAGCGAGAGTGATCTATTGCAATATCAAGCCAAGCCAAACCAAACCCTATCTGTTCAAAAAATATTATTTTTTCTATCTGTTCAAATCTCTTTCTCTTTCTCACCTCCTCATCTCTTCAACACAAGAACCAGAAATGAGAGGGTAGAGAGGGATCAGAGAAATGAGGTACGACGGAGAGTAGTGTCGATGAGCTTCTTTGATGACATGGTGGTTTCATCTTGGCGGTCTCTCTGCCTCAACGAGTCTTCAACTTCAAGGCCTCCATGTATTTGCGGTGAGGGAAATGGTCCAAGAGTAGGAGAACAGTGGTGGCACCAGTAGACAAAGTCTGCTCCGCATGATTATTTCAAATCCTAAATCTAGGGTTTAGAGAGAGAGAGATATATAGTGTGTGTTTGTTTGTGATGTGTGCCGTGTATATGATATATATAGGGATATTTTGGTCATTTTCATCTAAGTTTATCCTTTTGGATAAAGTATTTCTATAATTGGATCTGTTTCCAAACAAAATTGTAATTTAGATTTATGGACTATGTACCCTTAGGATGGCAAACGAGCCAAGCCTTGTCTTGCCTTGCCTTAATGTGCCTGTTTGGTGCAGCTTAAAAGCTGCTTTATTTCAACTTTCAGCTTAATTTAAGCTATTTTGATGTGTTTGGTTTAGCTTAACAATGTAGCTTATAGCTTTTTGTAAGTCAGAAATCAGCTTATTCTTTGAGTGGGGCAGGAGATGGTTAATTTATAAGTCATAAATCAGCTTATGTTCATAGTTATAAGTTATAAGCTGTTAAGGCATAAGCTATAAGTACTTTCTCACAGCTCTACCAAACAGGGCCAATATCTTTAGGTTTGTTTATTCAAATTTTAACGAGTTTGAGATCGAGACTTAATAAAAATTTAACAAACTGAATTCAAGTTGAGTTGGCTTAGGCTTGACTTGAGTTCAAACCTGTTCAGGAGTATTAAAGAGTCAAAAAAAATTATAAATTCATATTTGCTTATGAGATTAAAGTGACAATTGAAACTTTAATTATACAATTATATATACAATATATAAACATATTAAAAAAAAGTCGATATTTTATCAAAATAATAATATCTACTGCCATTATTATATAAATATATTATCTATAGTTAGCTATTATTTATATTTATATTTTTTAAATATATAAATAACATATTTATTTTTTATACATGTTTTTATATTATTTAATATATAAATAATAAATGTTAAACGAGCTGAGTTTACGAACCAAGTTTTAGTATGTTTGAACTTATTTATTAAAATTTTTACAAGTTCAAACACAAAAAAAATTTAACGAATCGAATTCAAACGAACTCTTACCGAGTAGAGTTTGAACAAGTTTAAGAACGGCTCTATTTATTTACAACCTTAAATCTAAACTATTATAATGTCCTAAAACTATCTTATTTTTTTATTTTTTATTAAAAAAAAGTGGAACTCTAGACCAACTCAAATGTTTGATTTTAGATAACAAATAAAATATTATTAATGCTAGGAACACAAAAACTATTCACATAATGGGACACAAACTTCTTGTGTGGATTCTACATGTGAATCCCACACACGTGTGCCACCTTTGTGAAAGGTTTGTATCTTATTTTGTGAATAATTTATGTGCACATACATTTATTCATATAATATACATAAAATCTGTAACCATTATTATTTTAGAGCATTATTATCCAGACACCAAAATTAAAATCACTTTCTAAACCTAGTGAAAATGATTAGTTAATGATTAAATTTTCTTAATGTAAAAAATAAACTTGTATGGTATATTTTTCATTATTTTATCGTCATATTGTAAAACCCTAGCTTTGACAGGCACCAATAAACACACCACTCTGAAAATTTCCTAAAACCCTACTTGGGAGTGATTGTGATTTCACACCTCAAACCTACCTTACTCTGCAACTCTCTCTCTCTCTCTCTCTCTCTCTCTCTCTCTATCTATCTTATTTTTCTCTATGATTCCTCAGTTCAATTCGCTCCCTTACCGTCCCAACCAGGCCCAGACCAATGGAACCACCACTGCTCCACCTGCTCAACAGGTCTCTCTCTCTCTCTCTCTCTCTCTCTCTCTCCCTCTCTCTCTCGTTATGTTTTTGTATAACAATTTGTTAATTTGATATGTTTAACTTAGCAGGTTGCTCCATCTAATCATGGTCAAGGAAACCCAAAAAACTCTTTTCCAAATTCCGCACAAAATCAGGCTCAAATTGGTGTAATCAATCCTCAAATTCCATTCCCTTTCAATAATTCCAATACCCATTTGAGCAATGGACCTGTGGCAATGCCCAATAGACCGATGATTTTGGCACCCATGGCTATGGGCGCTCCTAATCATAATCCTCTTCACCTGCAAAATGGTATGCCCCTTTTGGGTTCAACCAATGTTATGATGCCTCAACTTGTTCAATGCCAAGGTGGATTCGGTCCCCAAAATCCGAATTCCATGTCCATGAATCCAATGAATCTGATTCAACCACCGAACCAGTTTTTTGCTCATAATTCTGTCAACATGCCTCAGTATTTATGCCAAAATGCTGTTTTGCTGAATGGTCAATCCTGTTTGCAGAGTCCAATGCAAAACAATAGCCATCAGTTTGTCCAAATGCCAATGCCCAATTATACCCAAGTTGGTCCTTGTAATATGCAAATGTACCCAAATCAAGTTTCTCAGTCTATGGCTATTCAAAATCCCAATTTTTTTGCGAATCCGCAGTTTGGTATGGTGCATTCTAATGCAGTTGTCCAACCCAATAACCAAAATCAGCAAAATTTAGTTCTGTCATCAATGGACGCAAATGCAGCACGACAATCACATAATAATACTAGTCAACAGTCACAAGGGAACTCACCTCGGCAATCTGCTTTTGGTTCAGTTCCACAACCACCTCAGAATTTCACAAAGTCACAGGTAGTTTTCAGTTGCCTTCCACATATTTCCGTTATGTATTTATCTAAGAATCCTGAACTGCTTTATTAGCGTGAAATGATATTGTTCATGGCCACGACCTTCATATGAAGGCACAGTGCTTCCTAAAGTGATTTGCTTCGCTTGATATTAGTAGAGAAATTTACTGGTTGTTGTTAATAACAGTAAGGCAACCGAACTATAATCCTTGTTGTTGACAATAGGACACCAACTTTTGACATCACTTTGATACCTACCTACTTATCAAAAAAAGACATCACCTTGAGAATCAGGAAAAGGAGGTCATCAATTTTTATGCTTCACCAATATGTTGAGAGAGACTACTGAAACTTAAACCGAGTTGTAATGGAGGTTTTCTTGAAGGAGAGAAAAAGGAGTTGAAAGGAAGTAATGGATGTTTTGGAATCACCCTATGCTCTATCTTGACCCAGGAGCATTGCATAATCTTGATATTGATCATGCTTTCTAGTTACTGTCATTATTTATATGCACACATACTGAAAAAAGCAACATTATGGCTGATGTCTATTTCAAAGCCAAGTACATATTTCTACTATTGGGTGGTGGAATGTGCTACCTTGTTGACCCAAATGTATTATGATATGTTTCAAATTTTTGAGAGTTTTGCGTGCAAATCTTTTTTCTTTTCACACTCTCAACCCCAAAAGTAAAAAATAAAAGTAATACTAAAAACAATAAAAAAATTTTTTTAACAAAATATCCTTTATTTCTTTCCTTTTTTCTTTTTTGAAGTATTTTGTGACTATTCCCTCCCCATTGTTATTATGCATACTCTTTAATGAATCAGCTATAACTGTGTTTAACTTTTACTACCATCAAGTATTGCAGGGAAATTTCAGAAAAGATGGTGGGATTAATAATTCGAATAACAACTGGAAGAATTCTCAAAACACAAACTTCACGAAGAATCTGAGAAAAGATGCATCACATAAGGGGTATGTTTTGGTTTATTAACATAGAGCCTTTTAATATGTTGAAAAAACTAGTACCAATTTATTGGGATTCACTTCAATTCAAATTTGTCCAGATTTTCGAAGTCTCAGTTTCATAATATGCCAAATGCAAAAGGAAAGTCGAGGTTTCATAATAAATATGGGGGGACAGGTTAGTACTGTTTTATGCCTTGCTACCCAGTTTCAAGTTTTTATTTTTATACTTTAATGGTTTATTAATTGCTTGTTTGTCCATTCTCGGGCGTGTGTGTGCTCAAGTTGTGCATCTGCATGTGCCATAATGTTTGTTTGATGGTGTACCAAAATATCTACTGAAGGGGACTCGAACTTGAGTCTCTTTATTGGTGCAATGTGACCTAAGCTGTTGGGTGTAACCTTCGCGTATATATACCTATATGTACATGCAGGAGTAGTGTCTATATTATATGTCACATCTGTATAGCCTTTGATGAGTCCCACTCAGATTGTATGAATGAACTAGCTAAAGATCAGACGTGATTTTAAGGTTCTCATGGAGAGGAAATGTTCTTAGCTTAATCTGTAAGTAAAAAAACAGGGAAATGTGTGTTGTGGAGGGCAATTAGTTAAACAGTCACAAGTCATATGGAAGAACTAGTTAATACTTAAAATTGTGCTTGGCTCACAAAGTCATTAATGAGGGAGAGTGAAGACATTCTTTCTTGGGGCATGAACTTGATTTTAAGAGGTTTGTGCATATCTGAGCTCTAGATTTGCTGTTGTTTTCCATTTTTCAAAATCACCTTATAAGGACTTGGACAAGGCATAAGATACGCATTTGGCATGGCATTGGAAACAATCCTTGAAATCCTACTTCATATGATAATTGATTTAGGACTCTTAACTTAGCAGAGGTGTTAGTTGGTTAGGAATCTTTGCAGGTTGAGGTTGTTGCTGGAAAATGGAGAAAAGAGGACAATGCACAAATAGAAACTCAATAATGAGTCAGCTTGCTAACCTAGGCGATCCACCAAAATTATAAGAGAAGGAAACACGAGAACTTGTTTTTTCTCAAAAAGTCTAAGCCTGACATTTGCATTACAAAAAAATAATAAGAAGAAGAAAGAAAAAAAGGAAACCCATGAAATTGCCCTTCTTTTGGTAAATATCGAAGTAAAGAATAACAGTTTGCAGGTGGTGCACACTAGTCTCTCTCTAGCTTTCTAAGTAAGGTTTTATGATATAGGACAATTTTAAAAAATTGGTGTAATATCACCTATAATTGGAATCGTGGTGGGTTTTGGTTATGGAAAGTTATGGGTTAACGATTCTAAAGGTGGAAGGAACGTTTAAGTTTTCTAGACAAAAGAGGTTGAATTTTTCTTCAGTTTGAATATTGACAGTTTGTCGGATTTTTCAAAAATAAGGTTGGAATTCTCTCAAGACTATGGACTTTAAGACTGAATTGGTAGGGAAGTGGGATAGAGTTGTAGAGAAATCAATAGGTTAGGGTTTTGGAGCTACAAAGGCTATGTTTTGGACTTCAGGTGCTGTGAATAGAACCCTTATAATAGTGTTTATATCCCACCTAGAATTCCTTAGAAATAATGGAATGTAATACTGCATGAAGTATCACAGTGAAGTTTCACACGCACACAAATACTCAAAATCCAACAGAAGAAGAATTCTTTAGAAATAATTAATGGAATCCCACCTGGAATTCTTTAGAAATAATGGAAAGTAATACTGCATAAAGTATCATGGTGAAGTTTCACACGATTCACGCAAATTTTCAAAATCCAACTCTTAACGAATAGACAGATAGGAATTCCACCTAGAATTTATTAGGAATTACCCAAGGTTAGGCTGCATAAAGCATCACAACAAAATTTTAAAGAACTCTCACAAATTCCCAAAATCCAACTCTTAACAAATAGACAGATCATATAAGTGTTTATAGACCTCTGTTTTCTCCTAATTATACCAGTGCTATGACGTGTAATTAAAAACCTAAGGAACTTGGACCATGTAAAATATTTAATACCTAATTTATTAAAAAATAGAAATATTCTATACTTAAATAACACTTCATGTAATGATCCCATAACATGACCTGACCCATGATGAGTGACCCCAATAGCCCAAACAGATTTCAGTTTTTTACTGTTATTTTTATTTTCTTTGCAGAACTATTAAAGAAGCTTTTGCAAATAAATTGGGGACATTTTTAAATTATTATATATATTGTTTTTTGTTAAAAGCAAATTTCAGGCTATTATTAATTAAGCACTTATCTTAGAAATGGTCCACCTATATATTGCATGTTTGTGTAGCAGTTATTTTATTTTACTTTTTTTTGCCCATTGAGGTAAAATGATGCTTCTTGTTGTGTTTTGAATATTTTCAAATTTTTATGTATCCAGAAATATATTCCTTTATTTTTTTTTTCTTTTCCCAAAGCAGGATATAAAAATGATGGGTCAAGAACATGCAAGCTTGCTGATTCTACCAACCAAACTCGGGTCGAACATAAGGGGTAACTGCAGCCAGATTTGACTATATTTTATTTGTCTTTCTACCTAATACAAAAACTCTAATTGAACTAACAATCATCGTTGACATGAATGCACAATCTCTTGATGATAATTAATTCTTCAAACATTCTAATTAAACAATAATATATCCCTAACATGGTTCAAGTTTATTGTTACAAAAACAGTGTTTACAACCAAAAAATCCATATTAAATGTTGTCTACGTAAAAATTTCGAGCACCTATTGCAGATTGGTTGATTTACTCTTATCTTCATTTATTGCTTAGTTTTATTTTTACTTCTTAGGGTATCAAATAAGGGTGCTTTGTGTGATCTATTGTTTCTCTTTTATTCCCTTTTTTGATTATATATAATTTCTTACTATTCTGTTTCCTTTAAATGAAGATTTATATCTTTGAATTACACTGAACAAGAAATCCAACAGTGGCGTGAAGCACGCAAGAAGAACTATCCATCAAAATTCAACATAGAGAAGGTTCTATCGTCTGCAGTACATTCTGTCCTTGATTTCTGTCAGTAATTAGTTGTCCCTCTTAACAATGATTTTATTGCCCTGCAGAAACTGGCTGAAAAGCTGACAGAACCTGAGGTTACTGACAGAGATGCAAAATTGCGACGTGAGGTACACTGATCTACAACTACATCTATAAGCAGTAAATGAATGCCAGCACGGGTTATATGAATTGAATGGAAAATTAAGAAAACTAGATTTATTATTATTGAATAATGATCTAGTATATACAGCAATAGTCCCTCTGTTCAAAAGAAAAGGAAAAAAAACATAGACGTGTCTGTGAATGTGTTCTTCTGAAATATTTTATTGACGTTCAGGTTTTGAGTTCTAGGGAAAATTATTAAATACTCTTGAAGTACCATGTGGCATTGTCCATGTGGTACTCCTGGCCAATGGAAAACTGCAACGCACTAAGTAGGGCATTGTTTGTCTTTCAACTACCTAACAAAAGTGAGTTAGAATATCCAATCCATAAAATTTTTCACTATGTCATTGGTTTGAAGCACTATGTAGACAATGCTACATGATGCTCCGGGTTCTAGAGTTTGGTGTTTTATGTACAAAAAACATGGGGGGTGATCAAAATTCTAGATTTTTCCACTGTTGGCATTACATACCAATTTTAACCTTTTACCTGAGATGTTTAACCTACATCCACTTGCATTGAGATTTCCTGTTGTCAATAATAATTTCTTTTACCCCTCTGATTTTGTTTTTATTAATTTTTAAAATCTGTTTTGTGGTGTGATAAGTTGAAGATCTTATTTGCAGCAACTCAAAGAAGTTTTGGCAAAACAGGCTCAGTTAGGTTGTGAAGTTGCTGAAATTCCATCATATTACCTTTCTGATTCAGAGAAACGAGTGCTGGGAAAGGAAGTAGATAAAAAATCATGGACAAAGAAGGAGAGGTTCCAAAACAAGTTTAACAAAAGGGGAAGATTCCATCAAAATGAAAGGTTTGGAAGGAAGCAACAATCAGCAGATGATGATCCATCAAACTTGGCAGATCAAGATGAACGGTTTTCCAAGAAGCAAAAGTTAGCTGACAATGATTTGAACAAAAAGCAGCCAACTCTTTTGCAAAGGCTATTAAGTGCTGATATTAGGAGAGATAAAAGTCGTCTGTTGCAGGTTTTTAGGTTCATGGTGATGAATTCTTTCTTCAAAGATTGGCCCGAGAAATCTCTGAGATTCCCTTTGGTAATAGTTAAAGATGGTGTGGGTGAGGTAGTCGAAGAAAAATCCTCGAGTTCAGGAAAAGGTGTTTCTGAAGCCTACATTGAGACAAGTAACCAAGAATCCGAGCGTGGTGATTATCGTGACGATGGAGGTGATAAGGACGAGGATGACGACAATAGCGATGATGAACATGATGTGCAAGCCAAAGAAGCGGTGTGTTTTGCTAGCGTAAAAGGCAGTATGGGAGTTGAAATTGAACATGAGGAAGAAGAGGGAGAAATTATTGATTAAGGAGAAGAGGAACCTGATGACAGTAGTGGCAATGACGAAATTTATGGGTTTTTTTTTGTTTTGTTTTTGTAAAACGATTTGTGAAGGAGAAAAGAAAGTGAGAAAATATAATTTGTATTTTATTCTATTTTCTCTCTACAAATATCAAATCCAAATAGTCTTAATTGAGGTTGCTTTGCCCACAATCAAGGCTAGAGAGGCCTTCCATCAAGGTGACCCGCTATCACCTTTTCTTTTTCTTCTTGTTATGCAAGTGTTATTGGAGGGTTTTTCTCACTTAGCCACCAATAATATTTACGGACTCATAGGTTTTAATTAATGTACTATAAAAAAGAGTTCATCATTTTTTATCCTCCGCAACTTTAGTGAAGGATATATGATCTAATAGTATGTACTTTAATTTTCTTAACGTATCTAAAGTCAATAGGTTGGCCGTAAAGCCAACACATGACTTGCCAAGGCTTGTAAATGACTTTACTTGATGTTTGCTGTCCAAACAAAAAAAAAAAGGGCTAGAGAGGCATTAGCAAATGGCAGTGTCTAAGAGTTCAGCTTGAGCATGGTTTCTTTACCTAATGAAGAATTTGACTAATGATTAATGGGAGTAACCACACATTATTATAAGGATAAATTAGCCTATCACCCGTGCTATGCACAGGATAATTATAGATATTTATATTTGTTTTAATTTTTTTTAATATATAAATTATGTTTTTAAAGATTTGTCTACAAAAAAAAAATTAATAATCTTATCACTAATCATAGTGTACATAAGAAATTAAAAAGGCTACTACATTAACTATGCACAAGCTGTATCTATAATTATTTGTATGAGGAGATTTTAAATGCTAATGAGGGATTTTGACCAAATCAATAAATGCAGGCATGTGGATTAGAAAAAGTTAATAAATGCTAATCAGGAGATTTTGACCAAATCAATAAATACTGAGATTTTTTTTTAAATAAAAAATTAAAAAATTAAGATTGAGAGATTGGAGCTCCCATAAGACTTGGGGTTTAGAAATCCCATTTTCCTTAATATATTTACAATTATCTATATATGTGAATTGCGATTTTTAAATGTTTTTTTTTTTATTTAAATGTCTTCTTTTTTTCTTTTTTTTATATTATATTAAATTTTAATATTTTGATAATAATCATATGTGTTGGATTTTTCAAGAAATTAAATGTCTTCTTTTTTTATTTTCTTAATGCATTAAAGTGTTATTATAAGGGATAAAAATCATATGTGTTGGGACTTTTCAAGGAATTCATATGTGTTGGATTTCAAATAATTTTTTTTATGTTTGTTCTTAATACATTAAAGTGTTATTATGAGTGTGAGACTTGGGGGTTAGACTTGTTCTTAATGCATTAAAGTGTTATTATAAGACATAATAATCATATGTATTGGGACTTTTCAAGGAATTCATGTGTTGAATTTCAAATAATTTTTTTTTTTAATGTTTGTTCTTAATACATTAAAGTGTTATTATGAGGGTAAGACTTGGGGGTTAGGAGAAGTTAATAAATGCTAATGTTTTTTTTTTAAAATCAAAAAATTTAGATTGAGAGACTGGAACTCCCACAACGCTTGGGGTTAAAAATCTTCTTTTATTTAATATATAGTATAGATATATATATATAAATATATATTCTAAACTATGGAATTGTTAGCATTTGCCTCTATTTAAATAACCATAGCACAATAAAGCTATGGAGGCGTTAGGTCTCTCCATAGTGAGCTAATATGCCCCTTCTGTCTTCAAGGTTTCGTTGGAAAAGCTAAAGACTCCATTGGAAATTTCAGACTTAAATTTAAGATTAATGTTTTGGAGCTCGAAAGCTCGAAAATTATAAATACATTTCAGAATATTTATTTAAAATATAAATTGTCGTTGTTATAATTTTTTATTTAGCAGAATTAATTTTTAAAAAAATCATAATTACTCTCCTATACAATAATAAAATTACTTAAATTATGAATTAAAACATATTTTTAACAGAATTAAAAATTGTTAATTAACTTGATAATATATTAATAAAATGGGTGATTTGTTATAAAATTAAAAACTTCTGGATTGAAATATAATTTTCAAAACTATGCGAGGCGATTTATATTTTAATCAAATATCAAAAAAATGTATTTATAATTTACCCATTTAAAATTAAATTTATTCACTCCTTGAGACTTCAATTAAACCACGGCGCTTCATTCACACTCCTTGAGACTTGGATTGAACCATGGTCCTTCATTCACACGTTGGAACTTCCAGTGCAGCACCGCCTCGTCTTTTGTGCTTCGTTGTGTTTACAATTTTTTTAGTTGGAAAATTTTAAATATATATAAAACCTTCATTCACACGTTGGAACTTCCAGTGCAGCACCGCCTCGTCTTTTGTGCTTCGTTGTGTTTACAATTTTTTTAGTTGGAAAATTTTAAATATATATAAAATTTATAAAAAAAAAATTGATAAAAATAATAATGATATTTTGTTTTCTAGTGAAAAGTTTATAATAAATCAAATTGTTATGTATGAAAATTATATATAAATAAAAAATTTATATAACATTACACTCTTTTTAGATGGAGAGATTTGGTTAATAGTATGACTTATCTTTTTTTATTTTTTCATGTTAATATATCTTTTTAATTTTTTACCTTTTCTCCATTTGTTTATATTCAATTATCTGCTAAATTAAGTAGAAAATGAACTAACTAAATAACGGTATTTTAGTAATTTAATCATTACATTTAACAATGATAATCACTTACATTTGAAAAGATAAAAGGGGTGCAGTGTGATTTCAATAGTATTCAAGGGGTTTACTGTAATTTAATTATTAAAAAATTGGAGACAGACAAAAATATGAAAAATAAAAAGGAAATCTATTAGAAAATCATAGATTAATAAATAAAAATTTGTTCTCTATTTTCATTTCCATGTTGCTCATTCTAAACAATGTATTTAAAAAATTATCTTACTTAAATTAGATATATCGTTCGGAATTGATTTTTGACAACGTGACTTGGTAAATTAACAACATTATTACAAATTTAGATTTGTAAACTTAGAATTTATTTAGAAAAAGATATTGACAATTTAAATTCATTTTATTCATAAACTCCCTAATATAAAAATACATATTCAGAATAAATTATAGATTGATAAGGGTGGGTGCATAATATTTTTTATAAATTAATAACCAAAAAATGAGGTACGGACAAAGAAGCTGCTACGGCGTAAAAAATGATAACAGAAATATACAAATGCTCTACCAAACAAATCAAACCATATATGTATATTACATATGAACCAATAAATATAAAACAAATCTTTGATTAAATAATGTTTTTAACATAAACATGTACATAATCACTCTCATATCATTCCTCTCTGGAACTAACTAAAAAAAAGAATAAAAAATCCTTCATCACACTCCAACAAATAATCCCAAATAATTCCACATATATATATATGTATGTTTGTTTTAAGAATCGGAGATCTAGTGCTTCATGAGCGCGAGAAGAGACAAAACAATCGAAGAGAAGACGATAGCTGCAGATATCGGCAATGAGTAAGCAAATCCAGCGTCCATTGACGGTGACGGTGCTGGAGCCATTTCGAAGTCTTGCGACGATCCAATAACAGAGAAGATAGCAATGATCAAGAAAATTGTCAAAGCCTTGAATGAGCTCAATTGGGCCATTGTAGATCAGAGAGAGAGAGAGGGAGAGAGAGTGTTTCTCTATGGAGATTGAATTTGAAACAGAAGAGATAGTAACAGTAGTGATGCTTGTAATAGGATGGAAGATAGTGAGGCAAGAGGGAGATATATATAGGAGAGGGATTTTCAAAGTAGGGTTTAGATTTTTGAAAAGACTCAAATTAAATGATGAGTGGAGTTTTTTTTTTTATTTGGAAAAAAAATTAAAAATTAAGATTTGAATATCGGTATCAGGGTTCAGTATTGGGAATGGAGATTTTGAGAACAGTGGTCGGTATCGGGGAACCGTGTGCTCGGCTTATCGACTATGCGTTTAATAACACTTTAATGCATTAAGAACAAGTATAAAAAAAATTCTTTGAAATCCAATACATATGAATTCCTTGAAAAGTCCCAACACATATGATTATTATCCCTCATAATAACACTTTAATGTATCCTAAGAACAAGTATAAAAAAAATTTCTTGAAAAGTCCAACACATATGATTATTATCAAAATATTAAATTTTAAGATAATATAATAAAAAAAGACATTTAATTTCTTGAAAAGTCCAACACATATGATTATTATCAAAATATTAAACTTTAATATAATATAAAAAAGGAAAAAGAGAAGACATTAAAAAAAAAAAGACATTTAAAAATCGTAATTCACATATATAGATAATTGTAATCTATCTATACTATATATTAAGCAAAAAGGGGTTTCCCCAAGCCTTGTGGGAGTTTCAATCTCCCAATCTAAATTTCCTATTTTTTGGTTTAAAAATAAATAAAATCTTAGCATTTATTTATTTCTCCTAACTCCCAAGTCTTACCTTCATAATAACACTTTAATGCATTAAGAACAAGCACAATTTTTTTTTTTAAAATCTAACACATGAATTTCTTGAAAAGTCCCAACACATATGATTATTATTCCTCATAATAACACTTTAATTCATTAAGAACAAGCATAAAAAAAATTTCTTGAAAAATCCAACACATATGATTATTATCAAAATATTAAATTTTAATATAATATAATAAAAAAAAAAGACGTTTAATTCCTAAAAAAGTCCAACACATATGATTATTATCAAAATATTAAACTTTAATATAATATAAAAAAGAAAAAAAAAGACATTAAAAAAAATTTAAAAATCACAATTCACATATATAGATAATTGTAAACACAATCCGTGCATAGCACGGGTGATATGCTAATATCTATCTATACTATATATTAAGCAAAAGGGGATTTTTAATCCCAAGTCTTGTGGGAGCTCTAATCTCCCAATCTAAATTTCCTGATTTTTTGATTTAAAAAAAAAATCTTAGCATTTATTAACTTCTTCCAACTCCCAAGTCTTACCCTCATAATAAAACTTTAATGCATTAAGAACAAGTATAAAAAAAATTCTTTGAAATGCAACACATGAATTTCTTGAAAAGTCCAAACGCATATGATTATTATCTCTCATAATAACACTTTAATGCATTAAGAACAAGTATAAAAAAAAATTCTTGAAAAGTCCAACACATATGATTATTATCAAAATATTAAATTT